CCAATAGGCATCATGGTGCAGTTGGAAACATTTATCGGTAACTGTCAGATTTTAGACCATTCATAGAATTTCCCCAAGTCAGTTTGAAACTAGACTATTACCTTTACCTTTTATCGCTCTACATTATGTTGACATCGTCGGTATGTAAAAAGTCCTATGGTTGTAGGAAACTAGTAGAGTTATTTACATACAAACGGAACAACACTGTCCTGAAACTGTACCCTGAGGCACTCTATCAAGCACAGTTTCCCAGCTAGAAAACTTGTACCCCACCTGTACTGTTTGTTGACACCCAACTAGGAAGTTCTTTATCCACAGAAATAAGTTGTCTCCAATCCGGATATCACTTAAGTTAGATGGCAGCCTGTTGTGAGGGCGTTTGTCAAGAGTCTTACTGAGGTCAATGTAGGCAATGACTGTGGGTAAATTTATGTGATTAGAGCGCGCTGACTTTCACGGGGTACTAACATGTTAGTGAGACATAAATAACCTTTTCGAGAGCGATTTTGATTCTGAGAAGGAATCGGGTTATCGTTTTGATAGACTTGTCTCGAACAGTGTTTTACAAAATTTTCACAACCATTCTAGTTAGGCTTACGGGTCGATAGTTCTCGAGAACCTAATCAGGTTTGTGTGTTGTACCAGTTTTGTAGACAGGTGTTACTCTGACATTCCTTCAGTCTTTTGGTGATCTATCTTGATTTACAGGTAGGTTAAAGCATATAGTAAGGAGATTTACGATAAAGTTTGCTAATTCCTTTGGTAGTTTGAGAATACCTGAGCTTTACCATAATTGTCCTCCACTAATGATGTACTATTGTCTCCTCATAGTGATGGGATTTTGCCTCTTTTCCTAGTCCTTTGGTTTATGTACGAGTATGATGAGCGTTTGGGTTATTCTGTAGACTATTTGAAAAGCTTTTGTTTATGCAGCTGTCTAGACTTGAGGAGCATCGAGACACAAATATTCTGAGTTTGTCGATATTGAGGTTGTGTCTCACTAGTGTACAGTAACCTAAATGTTTCCCACCCTTCTTCCTCTTACGTAGGAGGGTGCGAACCTCAATATTGGACGACAGTGAGATTTATTGTGAGAAAATTTTGAGTTAAACTATCCTCACATGATTATCCATTGAAGAAAGTTGTGTCACTGTGCAATTTAAGCTAGCTACTATATATTTTCATGAGAACTGTTTTTATAACTATGTGAAATGAGTGTTTGTATTGTGGCTGAGAGTAATTTACAGGACTCCTGTTGAATTGTTTGTCGTTTTTTAGGAGCCCATGATTTTCCATTCAAGTGTCTGGAAACTGAATAACAACCTTTTTTCATAGTAATTGCATTGTTTAACATTGTGTTTGTCAGAAAATGGTGCACTGAATCGAATTGTATCTGCCATCTAAATGTTACCTAGAGTTATAGCCCTATACAAATTTGTAAAACGTAGGGCTTATACTTATTTGTTTTGGTAACTTTATTTTGCTCAACTGATGTAATGTGTCGGAATTTCGACCGACGTATGTTTGCGCTAAACCCCACGTCGGTTTTAACTGACAGTGTGTGCAGTTGATATTATTTTGTCCCTAATATGATGTGGGTTTGGTTAATTCGGTGTCAACAAATGATGGAGCAATCTTTGGTGACCGGTGCCATGGTTGTTTAGCACTTTAGTGCTAATGAAACCCTGTCGGTCAAGGTGCAGCCTTATTTCTAGTGGCTCAACATCGTGGTCACCATGTTGAAATTTTCAGTGTTTGTATTTGGTTGGTAAGAAAGCTTATTTGACCTAGGTTCCTTGATGGTTGTTATTCGTGAATAAGATAAACTTGTGCGCTTTGTCGAGTCACACTAGTAACGATAGTGCAGTTTGATCGACAGAAGTCGATCGACTTCAGTGTTTGTAGTGTTTAACATTGTGTTTGTAAGAAAGTGGTGCACTGAGTCAAATTGTGTTTGCCATCTGAATGTTACACAGAATAATTGCCCTACACAAGTTTGTGAAATAAAGAGATTATGCTGCCTCACGTTTGTCTTTGCGTAAACTTCCACTACCTGTTAAGTTAAAATGAAATATCAGTTTTTGAAATCACAATCCATGTAAGAGATTATGACTAATAATTTCTAACAATTATCTGTTTATAAAAAAAATTCAACCTTAAAATTAAAGAAATGCATTGACTTGGTCAACCGATGTTGATAATTTGATGGTTTATCTAAGTTCGTTGAAAGCTGACTTGTTGATCACAGTACAGTAAATGAAAATTTGACCAATTACAAACTCACTAAATGGCATTTTTATGTGTTTCATTTCTATCTTGTATGTCTTCCAAAATAAATATCTGCAGCTTTTCTCTGAGTACTCTACTTCCAATCCTCTCGCCTGTTGTACAGTATGAAAAAGTGCAGTTTTCAACACTTCACTATTCACTTTCATGCATGCCTTGTTAGCTAGACTTGATGTACAATTTGTTCGGTATATGTCTCACCTAAGTAACAGTTCTCATCCGCTATCATAGCAATAACAAATGGACTTTCGAAAGTTACACTTCATTAACTACTAACTACGAAGATGTTTGGAACAGAAATTTATTTGAATTTGGAGGCGTCTTGATCTTGTGATGGAGTTGATTCTCCTCACAACCGCATCTGCGTGCTTGAGCATCGACTTTATAAGATTACAAAATTTGTTATAGATACCAGTTACCGCAAGTTTTATCCGCTAAAGGAGATTTGAACGATATTTATGGAACGTTTCTGTAATTAGTTGTACTTGATCGTATTTAATCCCAGAAAACTCGTTACTATGTAATAACTCCCACAAATGACTATTTGCTTCAACAGTCAATGGTTTTTTCCTTATAAGGTGTGATTACATCTCAAAAATGACATTTAGCATGAAGTAGTTACACACATTTAAGTTTTTCATTCCTGAGAGTCACTTATTTCATGTGTTTTCACTCATTAAAAACCTAAATCACGTACACATCTAACTCTTCGTTTCTTTGGCCCCCGAATTTCATAGAGTGATTTTGAAAAGAAATTAGTGAGTCCTTAAATTTGTTGTCAGAATTCAGCACTGGTTGAAACTGTCTAACCCTATCATTGTCAGTACAAATACGTCATATACTCCTGTTTGGAATCTTAATCTTTTCTCTTATTTACGCAAGTGGTAGAAGGTAGTTGCTGGAAAGTAGTCGGTTGGATTCTATCAACATTGAGGACTAGACAAGATATAGGTTACTTACCAGCATAGTAACATGGCTGTCTACGTTTCACCGGAGGTTTTTGTGCTCCCGAATAGTTCCCTAGTAATGTTTCTGAACATAAAAATGGTTGATTCCTGATCAAATTTCATGGGAATCACTAGTTCCCACAATATTGCATATATCCTTTTTTGATGAGTGCTAACAAGCATGTATTCTAGATCTGGGACTTCTCATAGGTTACTTTTAACAACCACTAAGTTCCGGGTTCGAATTCTGTCTTATCTTCGGTTTGATAGGTTGGGTAGCACATTTACACATACTAAGTATGGTATAATACCGTTTTGCTTATAATCTCGAAAGTTTCAGTATCATACCCGACCGTTGCTGCTACCTTGATGTGGTGGTCGGGCTTGCCTATCGTGATGAAACAATAGAGTTATATTGGCTGGAACAATCGTTCCTCAAGGTCCCACCATGCCAGACAGGTCGGTTGAAGAGCGATAAGACTAAAAGCAGTAAACCCAAGGTCCGAAGGCGAAGTCATACTGCTGACTGTACAGAGGTGTGACAGCAGTAAGGTGTTTCCTTCAGACAACCAGCATAACAGCGATGCTATCTTCCCTCAAGGAGGGATGGGGTTAGTAAAGGTCGACCTTGAAAATACACACCTCGCCTTATCCCACGGATATCCGTCTCCGGCGGTAAGGTCCCAACAAGTAAAGTGCTATACAAAAAATACCCACAAAAGGTCGTGTGTGACCGACCTCAAACAGTTGTCCCTTGGGCACTGCGGTCACGCTCTCAGGTCATTAAAACCACTTCTAACCCAATTTCCTTTTCAGGTACCTCTAGAAGAACCCTTCCACGGTGTGGGCAACCGGGAAGTGATAACCACCCTCATACCTCTAACAGCATTCAAGACTGACTTCAATATCATGATAAACATTTTTATTCAGTGACTAGCTATTTCTCGCAAATTCTAACCACCCTCTCTACTTTAGGTAGTTCGATGCTATGACTCACGTATACACTTGTAAATCAAGGTCAAGTACGTGATACTATGTTTATAAGTTACATTTCAGTTAAAATAGAACTTTGTGGATATGGCCAACAAACAGCTAAACGATGTGTTTATAACATTTATTTCTACCATGTCATTAATTATGTTCATCTTTTTCAAAATCTTAAGAGTTTTTATTCTCCTATAGAGCAGGATTTGACACAAAGACATGGACAAACGGCTGAAGTGAAGAATTAACTCTTTTTCAATTGAATCCTTGCAATCGTATTTAGTGATCAACGTTCGAGAAGTTTATGCAACTGAAAGATCTCAAAGTTACGATTACCCTTCATTTCACTGGAGCTAACAACTGAAATTCTGTCGACAAATATATCGAACCTCCTACAGATGTTGGTTAGGTGTTTCCAATAAAATAATGGACTGCAGAAGACAATCTGAATTGGAACTTCTAGCCAAACTTGAGGAAAAAAATCGGTATTAGTTTAAGACCAATAATTGTTTATAAGTCCTCAGAGCCCTTTTTTCAGATGCCAAAGTCGTTCCATCTTTACATACTCGTCGACGAGAAGGTTCTATATCGAGTAGCATTTCCACTGGATCTGGGCAGGATGATACACGAAGTAAGATCGTTACTAAAGAACTCAGTGTTTATCCCATTTCACATCATGTTTTAACTATCACATTTTTTTGAAATTTGCCCTAGTGTTAACTAGCTTTCACTTCCTCTTTGAAGGTTTACATCAACATTCCTCATTTACACTTCACGATTTCCCTAAAATATCTTTTTTTCGGTGTCCTGGTTTGAATGTTGAAGACATTTTAAATAGTTCAAACGAGATTTTCGATATTTTGCGATTTAAGCCAATCACCTACTTAACTATTAATATCCTGAAATTACATTCTACAAAGTTACCGACTTAAAACCTTGACACCATCTAAACTACGAAATTGTCCACTGATAGTACAAAAGCAGAAGAATAACCACCAAGAAAATAGACTAAACTTAACAGAAAGAATGACGTAATTATATGAAATAAAACGTCTTTTATTCATAGAAGTGTTAATATAATGTCCCTTCATGGTTTTTATGGTTTTATAACACTTTTCTCACTATGTGTAACGACTGAAATACCAATATTCTTTTTGAACCCAGAATGAACGAACCAAAGTTTATTCGATTAGTCCAGATTACGTTCTTCTGTATAGCGTAAGAAGCCTTTTTGAGTGACTCATATTAAATTATATTGAAACACAAATTCTGTGTTCAATTTTAACGATTCCAATTTGAGGAAGTAAACACATTGTATCAAAAGTACAAAATGCATCAAAAAGTACAGCCTGTGCTGTACAGTCAAGATTTTCTCTAACACAAGCTAGTGTGCATAACGACCTTATTGTCAATGGTCCAGTAACATGCAGCAGTAAGTGAAGTAATCAAAGGTAAATATTTAACTAAGACGAAATGACAAAGTACACGATAAGGAAGACTGAAGAATGTAGAGTGTAGTTGAAACGAGACCTGAATAAAGGTTGAAATACAAGACAGATAGAAGAAACAAATAAATGACAATACTGTCCAATGAAATTCTGTGGGGGAGTTTTCAGCGTTTTTTCTTCCCGTTACATTATGTGTTACTTATCGATTGTTGCTGTCTAGATGTAATAGTTTTAGGTAACCATCACCTAGAATATTGCCATTGCATATGGTATTCTAGCATGCGTTTTGAGAGCCTGACACAGTCACACACAAAAGATCCACATTAGCAATTTTTAATAATCTCGATGGTTCTCCTTAACACACAACACCTATTAATTGAAAAATCAAGGGAAGTTAAGTGAGTTTACTGCAGGTTCAATCGTATAATAGTGTCTGTGGCATAAGTGTAGGTGTGTGTGTTTGGAGGCGGTAGAAGACATCAGCTTAGTCTACAAATCTGTATTTTTTTCAGAGGTAAAGTATTTTCTGATGTATTCTATATAAGCAGTGTGGCTTAAATTATAATATTTGTTTTGTCCACTCATATTAGGTAATGGAACAACTTCACTGCAGCTTAATGGTCATTCAACACATGGGTCGTCGAAATCGAGTAACACCTCTGGAGTTTTAATTCCTTTAATGATTGGTTGGACTGCTGGAGCACCAATTAGCAGTTCCATTCGTGAACAGTGGGACTACGTAATAAATAATTGGGATCAATGTTCGAAAAAGAAATCCTATGTGTCTGTGGGTTGTTAGAAACATTTTTTCTTAAGAAATGTGTTTTCAAATTCTTATTCACCGTCATCTTTAACGCGTCATAATAAGTCAATATAATTACTCTGGATGAATAGTTTTGAAGCAATTGAACATTTTCGTGTCAGAAGTGCCCTTAAAATTATTCATTATTGAGATTTTATTACTCAAGTACAGGTTAATATGATCAACTTTCAGCCACACTTTTTTGAGGTATAAAGTGATACTACTCGGTTACTGCTCGAACCGAGGTAAACAGAATAGGGATTAGAATTGGTTGTTGAAAGTCAATTGCCTTAACCACTTAGTCATCACGCTTTCGGTGACTGAATGGGAGATTGTGTCTCCAACGTGATATGGTCGCCGACTGAAACAGTATTTCTGTCTGTTAATTTGATCAATTCCGCAGATATTTAGCCCGAAAATATACATAAATATTCACGTATTTTAGGCTGTACAAACGATAGACATTTCTCGGGTGTTTGTAACAGATGCTTCTATGGTAGTTCCTGTGGTTAATGTTGATGGCTTAGATTTAGTAACTGTATTACAGAACATGGTCTAACAATCCCGTTTCTGTGCTACTGTCAGAAAATGGAGATATACTTACTTACACCTGTTCCCCAGTGTGGAGCTTAGGTCTTCGACCAGGATTCTCCAACCAACTTTGTCCTAGGCTCTCTTTCCTATCTGTTACCAAGTGCTATTTATTCTTTTGACGTCTGCCTCTGATCCCCAGCGCAACGTTTTTCGTGTACTTCTTTTCGTTTTGCATTCAGGATTCCAAGTTAGGTTTTGCCCCGTGATGCAGTTTGGTGATTTACATAATGGGTTGTTACTGATGTTATCCGATAAACAGATTTGTAGTGTCTTGTGTAGACAATTGTTTATAAATACATGTACCTGGTATATATAAGTTCATCAAACGTTTTACACAGCAGCTCCAGTTTAACTCTATTTTTCTATTTTGCAAACAATAAGCCAATGTTCATCTAAAATGACTGCAAATTATCTCACTTTTGGTCGTCTTTTCCCATATTCTCAAATAATCTCGAATCGTCTCATGGAATCATCATTAATGTTAGCCAGGTTTATGATGAATATAATTTTTTGCACAAAATATTTATTATAATCAAAGCAAATTTACAAACTAACGTATCTTTACAGATCATTTGAAGTTAGTTTTCATCTGAGAAACCATTGAGAGCTAGGAAGCTGTTATAATTTCTCTTATTACGACCCAGCTATCCCTATTGCTTAGTATTCCTGGACACTAATTCACTCGGCAAGTTCCCGAATCAGAACACGGTTGAACAGGAAAGAAACTATATCCCGAATAAAAAGGGTAGATGGAAGTAAGAAGCACAATAAGAAAAACGCTAGTATATTTATAGTTTTTGCATGAGAAGATTCTAGTGTTCTTCAAGTATCGACTAACGCTAATTGGATAAGAATTAGCCAATCAACGTGCAGCAACGCAATCGTGCACGGAACATGCTTTAATCTAATCTATGTCCCGTTAACAGAACATTGTACAAATACGTTTCATCTCAGTTCAAGACTTCGACTTTTGCGCATTCATCACTCACTCCACATAGGATTAAACCCATGATTGTCAGATCTCTTGTCTCTAGTGAACACTATTCAGAAGTCTGAAACTCGATGAAAACACTTATCTAATCCCCTTTCGCATTTAATACTTCATTATGACGATATCAGCCATAGATGTGAACTAACTAGAAATTTTTGTTAAGCCAGTCACTCATTGAGATTACATTTTAAGTACGCGATTTCAATCAACTTCTTTATGTGTTGGAAAAATATCTAACGATTATTTATTTATTTTATTAGGATCTTATTAAGAAAGGTGTTCCTGATGAATTTCGTCCATTAATTTGGCAACTATATTGTGGAGCTTATGATTCAGCTGTTAAAAAACATTATCATAATTATCTGTTAGTTGATTCACCGGTTGAAAAAGCCATCCGACGTGATATTGCACGTACATTTCCTAAACATGATTTATTTAAAGATGAGGTAAGTTATTTAACTTAGAATATTTCATTCCAGCATTATATAGAAATTAGTTTCGTCGTTGAATTCATACTGTTTTTTGTTAGTATGTTAGGCAATTCTCTAATTTATTTTAGATACGTACTTACATACATCACTTTCAACAATTGGACTTAAAGTGCATTGTATCTTTGACTAGTGACGTCATTAGGCTTGGTATTAATAAGTTTGAATTAAAGTATTTATACATTACCTCATTCAAAACAGTAGTGTCCAGTAGTTTTCGAGTCTTGACTAATGACAACTCCTGAATCATTGTGTATCAGGACAACAGGCAGCTCATTGTTATTTACCGTTCATGTATCGGTACCCTGGTGACCAATAGGCATCATGGTGCAGTTGGAAACATTTATCGGTAACTGTCAGATTTTAGACCATTCATAGAATTTCCCCAAGTCAGTTTGAAACTAGACTATTACTTTTACCTTTTATCGCTCTACATTATGTTGACATCGTCGGTATGTAAAAAGTCCTATGGTTGTAGGAAACTAGTAGAGTTATTTACATACAAACGGAACAACACTGTCCTGAAACTGTACCCTGAGGCACTCTATCAAGCACAGTTTCCCAGCTAGAAAACTTGTACCCCACCTGTACTGTTTGTTGACACCCAACTAGGAAGTTCTTTATCCACAGAAATAAGTTGTCTCCAATCCGGATATCACTTAAGTTAGATGGCAGCCTGTTGTGAGGGCGTTTGTCAGGAGTCTTACTGAGGTCAATGTAGGCAATGACTGTGGGTAAATTTATGTGATTAGAGCGCGCTGACTTTCACGGGGTACTAACATGTTAGTGAGACATAAATAACCTTTTCGAGAGCGATTTTGATTCTGAGAAGGAATCGGGTTATCGTTTTGATAGACTTGTCTCGAACAGTGTTTTACAAAATTTTCACAACCATTCTAGTTAGGCTTACGGGTCGATAGTTCTCGAGAACCTAATCAGGTTTGTGTGTTGTACCAGTTTTGTAGACAGGTGTTACTCTGACATTCCTTCAGTCTTTTGGTGATCTATCTTGATTTACAGGTAGGTTAAAGCATATAGTAAGGAGATTTACGATAAAGTTTGCTAATTCCTTTGGTAGTTTGAGAATACCTGAGCTTTACCATAATTGTCCTCCACTAATGATGTACTATTGTCTCCTCATAGTGATGGGATTTTGCCTCTTTTCCTAGTCCTTTGGTTTATGTACGAGTATGATGAGCGTTTGGGTTATTCTGTAGACTATTTGAAAAGCTTTTGTTTATGCAGCTGTCTAGACTTGAGGAGCATCGAGACACAAATATTCTGAGTTTGTCGATATTGAGGTTGTGTCTCACTAGTGTACAGTAACCTAAATGTTTCCCACCCTTCTTCCTCTTACGTAGGAGGGTGCGAACCTCAATATTGGACGACAGTGAGATTTATTGTGAGAAAATTTTGAGTTAAACTATCCTCACATGATTGTCCATTGAAGAAAGTTGTGTCACTGTGCAATTTAAGCTAGCTACTATATATTTTCATGAGAACTGTTTTTATAACTATGTGAAATGAGTGTTTGTATTGTGGCTGAGAGTAATTTACAGGACTCCTGTTGAATTGTTTGTCGTTTTTTAGGAGCCCATGATTTTCCATTCAAGTGTCTGGAAACTGAATAACAACCTTTTTTCATAGTAATTGCATTGTTTAACATTGTGTTTGTCAGAAAATGGTGCACTGAATCGAATTGTATCTGCCACCTGGATGTTACATATATTAATATCCCTATATAGTCAGTCAGTCAGTCAGCTACAACGTAGGATTTTGCACATATATGCATCAGTCCAAGTTGCCATACCTCGTTAGCACAACAAGATGAACACCGAATACATAAAAGCAGTTAATTTAATGGTGGTAATATGTAAAAGAAAGATTGTATATAAGGACATAGTACAAGAAGAAAGACATATATGAAGCGATATTGATCTCAAGGTTTAAGGGAAGATAAAGAGTGTATACACCTACACCATTGTGATCGATTGTGAGCCATGTCACACAGAGTCTACAACCATTGGTTACGATAGTGACACGGACCCCAACCAAATAGTCTGCATCTACCAATATGGCTTAGACTAAAAGTCAGTGACTTCAAGCTCCGATGCCACTTTTTAGTTTGGCCGCCTCTAACTCTCTTCCAACCATCCCTAATACTAGTCAATATAGCGCGTCGTGGTAATCAGTGTTCAGGCATGCGTAACACGTGGCCCAGCTGTCTCAGAAGATTCATGATCTCATCAACTGATTTACTTATAAAAATTTGTAAAATAAAGGGCTTATGCTTATTTGTTTTGGTAACTTTATTGTGCTCAACTGGATCCCAGTAGACAGTCGTCTATGCGCTGTCCGACTAAACGGATCAGTAAGGACTCGGAAAGATAGGGAAACCCGTCGTTGCCTCTTCATCGTCTCTGCCTACTCTCCCACTGACTGCAGCTCAGACAATATAAACGATGAGTTCTACAGGAAACTTTCTGACCTTCTCCGAGAAGCTAGGCGTTGTGATGTAGTAATAGTAGCAGGTGATTTTAATGCTCAAGTAGGTAAACTAAGTGAAAGGGAAAGATACCTGGGTGGATCTTATGGTGTCGTGGCTAAAAGGACAGATAATGGCGACCGTCTGTTACAGCTGTGCTCAGATAACCGCCTATTTCTTGCAAATACTAACTTTAAGCATAAGGAAAAACATCTTTTGACATGGCGACCCCCGAATTCGTCCCAACGTTGGACCCAATTAGATCACATCGCTATCAGCCACCGATGGAGGGGCTCGATAGAAGACTGTCGCTCATTCTGGGGCACATGTTTAGATTTAGATCATGCTCTAGTGCGAGCACGTATCTGTCTGCGTCTTACTGGACGTAGGAAAGACATTGCAGGGAAGCCTCTAAGGGTTCTACTTAATGATAAGCAAGCTAAGAATATATTTCAGGAACAACTGGAAAAACAGTTAGATAGACATGTAAGTTGTGCCCACCTCGAGGCAGCGTGGAATGACATCCGAAAAGCTGTGGAAACAGCAGTGATATCCTCTATTAAGGTAGGCCATAAGGTGAGGGAGAAACAATGGATCTCAACAGCATCTACCGCACTGATAGATGCTCGAAAACTCATCCCACCTGGCTCTGAACATAACGAAGAGCAGAGTCAGCTTAAGCACAGGCTAATAAGAAGCCTACGCAATGATCGTGAACAGTGGTGGGTAGCGAAAGCAAGAGAGATGGAAAAGGCAGCGGCAATAGGTAACAGCAGACAGTTGTTCAGACTTATTAAAGAAACCGGCATTAGGAACCCAACTATTAGCGAAACTATCTCAGATGAAGTTGGGCATATCATTTATTCTCAATCCAGGAGATTGGATCGATGGGCAGAACACTTTAGGGATCAGTTCAACTGGCCTTCAGCCACACTTCAATTACCCACGATCCCCAGTCGTCCTGAATGGCAAATTGATGTAAGTCCTCCAACATTCTACGAGGTTGAAAAAGCTATAGGAAATCTGAAGCGAGGGAGAGCAGCAGGCCCTGACAGGTTGACCCCTGAGATTTTTAAGGATGGCGGTCCAGTACTAGTAGTGAGATTGACTAAGGTCTTAAGTAGAATCTGGGAACTGCACGTAATTCCATCTGACTGGTCCCAATCACTGATTGTGCCAGTCTATAAGAAAGGACAAAAGTCCTCCTGTGACAATCACAGAGGAATCAGTTTGACTAATATAGTGTCTAAAATATTAGCTTCAATAATACTTGGACGCCTAACCAAAGATCGCGAAGAGCAGACTAGAGAAAACCAGGCTGGTTTTCGACCTGGACATGGTTGCATAGACCAGATATTCACTCTACGTCAGATCCTAGAACATAGACATACATTCAGACGTCCCACAATCGTAGTATTTCTTGACTCCGTCGAACGTGAGGCTCTATTGCAGTGTTTGTCAGTGAAAGGAGTCCCAGAAAAGTACATTAACCTCATAAAGGCTCTCTACTCGAACACAACTGGTCGAGTTAGAGCCTATGGCGAACTGTCATCAGAATTGGTTACCTCAAGTGGTGTTCGTCAGGGCTGTCCACTCTACCCATTCCTGTTTAACTTTGTCGTCGACATGCTTTCAGAGATATCACTTTCCTCATCTCAATCTCCTGGAGTTGAACTTTTACCGGGAGATTCACTTGTTGACTTAGAATACACCGACGACATAGTTTTACTCGGTGAAGACTCTGACTACATGCAGAGTCTTCTGACCACCATAAGCAACAATGCAGGCATGTTCAGGATGCGATTCTCTCCCTCGAAGTGCAAAATGTTACTTCAGGATTGGGTTGCATCGATACCTGAACAAATGATAGGGAGTGAAGTAGTTGAGCGTGTTGACAGCTTCACTTATCTTGGGAGTCTCATCAGCCCTAGTGGTCTGGTGTGTGACGAAATCTCATCACGGATACAGAAGGCTCGTCTAGCTTTTGCCAACTTGCGCCATTTATGGCGTAGGCAAGATATCCGTCTAGCAACCAAAAGACGTGTTTACTGTGCAGCAGTTCGCTCCGTCCTACTTTATGGTAGTGAAACATGGCCGATAAGAGTAGAGAATATTCGTAGGCCACTAGTGATCGATCATAGGTGTCTTCGACGCATTGCTCGTATATCCTGGGACCACCGGGTAAGTAATGCAGATGTTAGGAAACGAGTACTATGTAAGGATGGCAAATCGAATGATGAAGTAGTGAAACTTCATCAGTTAAGATGTCTGGGACATGTGTTACGTATGCCCAACCACCGACGTGCAATGCTTTATAGTGTAGGAGCAGGTTGGAAGAAAGCTAGGAGCGGCCAGACCAAAACGTGGTACAAATCCATGAAGTCACTGACAAGTGGACTGGGCCATGTTGGTAGGTGTAGACTACCTGGTTGGGATTCGCGAGATGACAGCAACCGATGGTTAGAGACCTTGAACGACATGTCTCAAAATCGTTTGCAATGGCGAAGGTGCATCCACTCTTTGTGTTCTACCAAATTCTAATCTTCTGAATTCCTCATGTCTTTATCCTTTTTTCTTTCCAAATTTATTTCACTGTATTATACTCCTTGAATAACATCTTCAAACCCTTATCTTTCACTTAATACTTATACTCTTACTACTTCTACCACTATGGGATTTGAATCGACAACTTCATCTCTGTGCTAATGTGGTATGGCAACTCGAACTGATGTACGTACTTTCGAAGTTCTGCGTTGTGACTGACTGACTGACTGATTTTGCTCAACTGATATAATGTGTCGGAACTTGGGCCGACGTATGTTTGCTCTAAATCCCACGTCGATTTTAACTGACTGTATGTTCAGTTCATATTATTTTGTCCCTAATATAATGTGTAAATGCTAAGGGTTGGGTTAATTCAGCATCAACAACTGATGGATCAATGTGTGGTGAGCGGTGCCATGGTTGTTTAGCCCTTTAGTGCTAATCACACTCTGTCGGTCAAAGTGCAGCCTTATAGTAATAAGGCTCAACATCGTGGCCACTATGTTGAAATTTTCAATGTTTGAAATTAGTTTGTAAGAAAGCGCATTTGGCCTAGGTTCCTTGCTAGTTGTTATTGGTCAGTAAGATAAACTTGTGCGCTTTGTTGAGTCACACTAGTGACCTTAGGGCAACTTAGTCGACAGAAGTCGATCGACACTAAAGGGCTAGACAAACAACATCGGTCACTACTCAGTAGTCAATTGATCATAACTATTTCTGTCCTACAGGAGGTCTGTTGTGACCTGAATACCTGATTGATTCCATTCCAGACTGTGAAGTTGGGCGACACGGTTTCAAATCCAACCTGAACCACTAATCCCCTGTCTGACGTGTGCGAACGAGTGCGATACTTAGGTTCAGGGTTCCTTTATAACTACCTCCATCCAATTATTTATTCAATTTTGAATGAGATAGAGATAATCCTTTCAACTCCTAATTGCTTTTCCCTTTTTTCTTCAATGCATCTACCAACTATTTTCTCGTTTCATTCCATTGTCATTATACAGTTCACGTCCTTGAAAAAACTTACACTACCATTCTATTGTTACTATTAAATTTCACATTACATAGAAACTTGATTGACCTTTTATTAACCAATTAAAACGAATAAAGTTTGAGCTTTGTTTTACTTTATTTATGTGTTTTAGCCCATTTAAATTTACACGATATACTTACCGCATATTATCGATTTTGTCCAATATTCTCTTCCTCCTCCTACTTCAGTTTTTTTAATGTTATCTTCTTTTTTCAATATTGTTACATGAGTATTGTTTTAAACTGTTCACTAGGAAGACAAGTTTTTCCCATCTATTTTTATATCTAAAGTAATTTGTTACATTTTAATTCATTGGAGACTTATGACATTGAATTCATTATTTCTTTGTATGTTAAATTAGACTTTATCTGCCCGTTTGGTCGGTACTTCTACGTCATTAAGAATGAGACAAGTAATTGTTTGATGTGACTACATTGACTTTATGATGTTAAGCTCAATGAATGTAGTAACATAAGGGGATACAATTTCGCGGTGGATAATGATCACAAATGATATGTATTTAATTGGTTCTGAGTGGGTCCCGTAGCGGGTCTGCACGAACTATATATATATATATATATATATATATATATATATATATATATATATAAACTCACTCATTAGGTATTTATATATAATTCACACCCTAAGTGTAAAGAATAATGGCACTATCCACTTGCCCAATTCAAAGTGGGTGAAGCGGGCCTCGAACCTAGGACGTTGTGCCACAGATTTCAATCCTTTAACTACTAAACCAACGCTTCACTGCCTTCCCTCGTATTGTAATACGTACCTACTGTGGTCACGTTATGTGTGATGATTTAGACAAATAAAATTCTTACAGTGTGTACATGTCTGCCACACATAACATCAATAACAGGCTGTCTAAATTTTCATTACAGTACAAATGACCATACACATTGGAATACAGTTTAGTCTAATTTCATTTTCGATCACTTAATTCTCCCGCTAAAATAACTAATAACAGTGTACCAAACCAAAGCGTGGCATCATTCTTTGTCTTCTTTTAAACCGTGAAATTAAAATTACTTTATGCCTTTCTTTTTCTCTGTATCATATCCCAATACGATGAGATAGTTTTCCAATGATGATGATCCTTTAGGTAAATTAATTATTCGTTAGATTCAATCACCTAAAATTCTATCTGTTTTGCTAATAAGGTATCTTAAATTTTCATTGGGGTCAATAAGCTATTAAGCTAAAAATATCACAGCGACTCCAGGATTTTATCTTACATTTCCAAAAGTATCCACTTAAAACCGTGATTCGACTTGGTATATAGTTATTGGTTAGTACAGAACTTTTGGTTTCATTTCGATACCTGGATACAGCGATTCCTTGCCTTATAATTTTTTCTACTCAAAAATATAATCTTTTAAGGAAAGTTTATTTAGTAGGAACTTAAAACGACATACTTAAGGAAGTAACACATTTGTACAGGTACATTCTCAATGGCCTTACATATAGAGCAAAAGTCTAACATAGAAGAGCTAGCGGTCAATAGGGAAATGTCTTTAATAGTGGTCAATATAAAGAATAACTCTCGTGTGAAGATTCGGTGCTAAAAAGTAAAAATCCAAATCAACAGAATAGTCAGTAATTAAGTCCTTTACTGGGAATTCAATAATTTCAACAGGTGGATATGCAATTTCTTTTTTTTTCAAGTCCTGTATGGTAGACTAATTTATCTATGATGTACTGATTATACTATTTGAATGCTATTCTCTTATTTATAGAAGTAACCATGGACAAACCTAGATATTAGTATTGTACAAGCATTGAATTAAGTGGAATAACTTCCTCAAAAATAGCTTTCGTTGTTTATCATAGTTTCTTTATTTCTGTATTCACGATTATATATTTATGCATACCTATATATATTTTCACAGAACGGTTGTGGTCAAGAAAGCTTATTCCGTGTAATCAAAGCGTATTCAATTCACGACCCAGAAGTGGGCTATTGTCAAGGCTCAGCATTTATTGTTGGATTATTATTAATGCAGGTAAAATCAACAGTTATTAATTATATGTTTATCATTAATTATCTTACCAGTTTAGTTATATTTATTATTTTCAGAGGTTATTGTTATTTACAACCGGCTATTCATTCATTGGATGATTTGAAGTGGGATAATAAAATTGATTCATTGTTTGTCCCTGACTCTCAACTAAACAGACAGAGGCCCCCAAATGCCCTGGTACGGCCGAGAGTGGGGAGGGGCCACCCTCCCTCTCGAAATGCTCTCACATGGCCACGCGTATATAGCCTCTACCAGGGAAGTCCTACTCACTGACTTCTCGTGGCAGGGGTGTTGTTTACGAAATTAAGAGGACGAAAAGCGAATGTCCGGTGCTTTAAACAGGTTGGTTTACACGGAGGGTTCACCTACGGGAGTTGGAAAATCCTGATTCCAAACCAATGGTGCACATGGGCTCCAGTATCTCGAGGGAACAAATGCCGTATTAACCAATTGTTGGTCACCGGCTACTATGGGACTGCATCTCTTTAGAGTGCTCCACTGCCTTGTGGGTTAGACCTTTAGATCAAAGGCTCCAGGTGTGGTCCCCTAAGGAAACCACCTGCTTCAGTTTGGGCACCTGGGCAGTATCGTAGTCTTCACACAAATCAAACGAGATTTGTGTTGCGCATATGTATCTGGTGCCTCTTTGTACCAATATTTATGTGTTCAAATAATAAATAAATAAATAACATTATTAGTTAATCTTGAATACCTGGTTGAATTTTTATAGGATGGCTAATGAATTTCAACTATTGAACTCACGTTTATCATCCTGACAATTTACTACTGATTTAACAGACAATCAAATCTTGATTCCACTCCAATTAATCGCTTATCATATGGTATTTCTACCTCATAGAAGCAATGTAGTCAGTCAGTCAATCAATCGTATGCAACGTAGGATCTGATTTATGTTCGTCAGCTCCACTTGCAATATCACATTAGCATCGAGAGACAGAATTACTTGGAAAAATCTCATAGTAGTAAAAATAGTATCAGAAGTGGTAGGAAATATTACTTGTAAAAATGCTTTGAGCAGATTTTGGGGATTTATTATTATTATTTAAACACATAAATATTGGTAAAAGGAAGCACCAGATACATATGCGTTATACAAATCTCATTCGATTTGCTTGAGGGCTGTGATACTGCCCAGGTGCCCAAACTGAAGCAGAGGGATTTAGGAACTAAGGAAAATCAAAAGTGACATACTTGCGCCATTGTAGACGATTTTAAACAATGACACCTAAAGTTACTCTGATGACAAATTGATTGGAAAGTTAATCGATTGAATCATTTTCATTCAAGATAAGTGATATCGTTGCGTCCTTGATCTGTTTATCTAATAACATACAGGAGAGAACTTGTCTCGATCCAGGTTATGACCTTGACACGATAAGCTAACTGGTTTAACGTAAAAGCTAAAAACGCGTTAGTCCGAATCAACACTAACGGCCTTGGTCAAAAAGACCTAAACTACTATATCACCTGATTGGTTAACAAGTAAGATAGAGAAGACAAGTCAACTGGAACACTATTCGATTTATTCCTGATTCGGATTAGTGTAAAAAAGTACATGAGTAAATAGATGACTGACACGACCAACACGCACAGACAATTAGAAAAATACAATCAAGTCCAAACTAACCATTAGGGTAGGAAATTGATGTACAAAAGATTATGTTTAAATTACAATTACTTTGGAAGAGGAAAGAGTTTGACAGTGAATCATGCATGAAACGAAACCTTACGATTTGTAGAAATAACCTAAATGTTTGTTATAGTTTTTTTGTTTCTCTGTTCACATCAGTTATACTTTGATCTGCGTTATGATGCGGAAGTCTTACTTGGTTTTTATCTAACTAACACCATCTGTGACGAACCTTACAAATAGAGAATTTACTAGATATCAGTCCTCTTAATAATAATCTGTGTCTATAATATTACCGAGGTAATAAAGCTATTATGCAGCGTAAGGTATTAGGGATATATAATAAACTGGTTAATGAGAACTTGAAACTTAGTTGACTAATTTGTCTGGAACATGTCTTATTATAAACCTTGTCACTGCCCAACTTGCATGTTACTTTTGACTAATGTGAGAGTAAGTTAATAGCAAATTCAGGTTGTTAAATCATAACATCGTATCAGCTCATGACAGGGTTGGATGGAGAATGCTGGTGAGCGGCCTGTGCTCCTCCACGAGGGGTATAAGGCATAAGTAAGTAAGTATCAGCTCATGAACTGTTTGACTAATTTTATGAAATGTATCATAAAGTGCAAATTATGATCATTATTTAGGTAATATACTTCAAAATTAGTTTACGTTCCATGGATGTATTCACCTTCTCCCATAGATATTGACTTTTGTTATCTATATTTCATTGTGTTTCAGCTTTCTTTTCCATGTTTTATTTTATTATCATTGCTCGCATCTGCTGGGATCACCGGGTAAGTAATAATGAGGTTAGACACAGGGTATTAGGGAATGATGGTAAATCAGTTTATGAGGTCATGAATCTTCATCGACTAAGGTGGTTGGGCCACTTGTTACGTATGCCTGAACACCGATTACCACGACCGGTATGCTGACTAGTGTTGGGGATGGTTGGAAGAGAGTTAGGGGTGGCCAAACAAAAACACGGTATCAGAGCATGAAGTCACTAACTTCTAGTCTGAGCCATGTTGGTAAATGCACACTACTTGGTTGGGGTCAGCGTGATCATAGTAACCAATCGTTGGAGACTGTATGTAACATGGCTGAGAATCGATCTCAATGGCGCAGGTGTGTACGCTCTTTATCTTGCCTTAAACCTTAAGATTAAAATTGCTTCATATCTGTCTTCTTTCGTATACTATATCCTTATACACAACCTTTCTCTTATATATTATCACCACTAAATTAGCTACTTCTATGAATCCGGTGTTGATCTTGTTGTGCTAACGAGGTATGACAGCTTGGACCGACGCATATACGTGCCTGGTCCTACGTCGTAGCTGACTGACTGACAAGTAATTTAGTTTCCTTGATTTTAATCAAATCAATTTCTTTTTATTGTTGTAATGGTAATATTGGCAACTCAGACTGTTACATATTTATATCACATCTTATGTAGTGGATTGACGCAGCCTGATCTTGTAGTTGAAGTAATAGTTTTCCATTTTACTTTCCATTTTTGTTTGTAGAAATATGACTGTTCATTGTTTGACTTTCTTTTGTTTGATACTTCAGATGCCTGAACTTAATGCATTCGCTGTACTTGTTCAATTAATGAATGATTATCGACTTCGTGAAATGTATAAACCATCCATGATGGAACTTGGTGTTTGTATGTACCAGTTAGAACAATTAATTGCTGATAATTTGCCCGACTTGTATACGCATTTTCGTACACAATCATTTGCACCAAGTTTATATGCATCAGCATGGTTTTTGACATTATTCTCTACTATTCTACCTATACCATGCGCTACACGTGTTATGGATTTTTATATTGTTGAGGTATGTTTTCCTTTTCATAAATGAACTTTCTTATTGTATATGATTTGCATTCTCGATTGTAATTACATTGAATTGATTGTCAGCCTTGCGCATCGGGGTAACCCAGTCGAATAATACCTGGCTTGAATATTTGTTCTCTCAGGTTCTAGCATGCAAACGGGATCTATTTAGTAGTGTTAAAACCGAACGCAACACCTTGGGGTCTTACGAATAAGTCATACTATCGACTATATATGAGTGTGACGGCAGCTAGGTGTTTCCGTCAGACACTCGGGGTCTGAATCGATGATGCCTTCCCAAAACAAAAGTAAGCGGTTAGAATAAGTCAACACCAGAAATAAAACATTTCACATTACCTCATGGATTTCCGTCGTGGGTGGTAAGGCCTCGAAAGTATCGAGCTAACATATAAAAGAATGTTCACAAAAAGGCCATGTTTTGACTGACTTCCAGAAGTTGTCCATCAGGGACTTCGATCACCTTCTTAGGTCTACAAGATTACTTTTAGGTGTTGATTGAATTCTATAGGTAAATGTGCAGTGGAGCAACACTAGTTTTAATAATTGGAGAGTTTTATGCACTTTTTTAACGTCACACAATTTTGGAGGTAGTCAGAGAGAAGGTATTAAATTAGGTTTTGAGTTACGTACAACAATGGCTACAATGTCAGTCGGTCACAACGTAGAACTTCGCACGTAGGTACATCAGTTCGAGTTGCCATAATGCTACAATGTGTCCTGACCGATAGAATTCGACCATCTCGAAAAACTAAACTAATGTAAGATTGCCTACCGCTCTATAATCTATCCTACAAGGGGACGATCACAATCCAAACAGCACATTTGTAATATTTCTATGATACTGGTTGGTTCGAGCATAAATCTCATGGGGTAAGTCGGTTCCCTGGAAGTTAATGATACATCTTGTTAAAAGGCATCAGCTAACCTGAAAGTCAGGTACTAGGCTTCTTAATGAATACCTTCAATACATTATTCTAGCTACCCTATACGAACTCTAGGTTTATTTCTTAGTGAACTAAATCTGAATATCTTCAACTGTTTTACTTCAATACTATCAGTATTGTTTTCTATTTGTTTGTATGTATGTGCCATGTTATTGACTCACTAAGTCATATGAGCGTAGAATTTTACTCATTATAAAATTGTATCACCTTCTATAAGTTACAACAATTCAACATTAGAATGTAACTTAAAGTTTAAATTCACTTAGTGTTACTTGTTCGAATCTTCCTATTGATGTTTAGGACTGCAACTGGTCAGCCTCTTAGTGGCATTGTAAGCAAAGTTGGATAGTGGCCAGCAGTGGAATAAGGCTATATCGAGGCAATACGCAAAGTATGCACATATGCCAATAAGAGACTTGCCAGTTGCAGTCCTAAACATCAATAGGAAGATTCAAACAAGTAATACTAAGTGAATTTAAACTTCACCCCATTGCACAAGCAAATGGCTATCAGGACTCAGTAGCTGAGTGGATAACGCGATGGCGTTCGAAGCGAAAGGTACTTGGTCCGAGTACCAGAGTGAACATCAACTCTGAGATGCAGGTACATCCAGCTGACGAGTCCCAAATAGGACGAAATGCGCGTCCTGGATTCCACTGCTAGCCACTATCCATCTTTGCTTACAATAACTTAAAGTTTGCCATGTATTTATGTGCCCTTTTTCATAATATTCTTTTTATAAACATGTAAATATGATTGTATTTATTGTGTCTGTTTGTGTTAGGTTTATGAAATTGTATTGATTGTACCTAATAAATGTATGTTACTGACTTTTTACTATTAGAATGTCGCATGTTGGGAAGGCATAATTACAGTAACTCATTTGATGATAAAAATTATATTAAGATGACGATTATCAAAACTATGTGATAAATATTGGCGCATTACATCCCGAACAATCTGACCACATATAAAACAACCTTACTTCGTTCTCAGTAGCGTCGTTTGTGCAAATATGATCAATTCTGTTAAATGGTCTCCTTATCAAGCCCCGTTTGTAATGAACTCAGAAATGACTTTTATGACTAGGGTACTTGACTGTCCAAGTTGGCTTTCTAAAAGTTGATCGTTTGACTGAACCATCTTCTTTTCTACTTATAAGTATGTCTAAGAAAAGAAACTGGACGTTCTTCTCCTCTTCACATGAAGGACTTACGTGGCTTTGAAAAGCTTTAAGTTTATTCAATGAACAATTCGTATCCTCCTTTCTTCCACAGATATCCAAGATGTAATTCATACATCCCTTATAAAGAGACATGTTTTCGATTAGGTTTTCAGATAAGTTTTCAACCCGGTGCCATGAACATATCAACTAATAATGATCCTAACGGACTATCCATAGCAACCCCGTCCATCTTACGGAAGTATTCACTTTCAAGTATGAACTGGACATTGTTAGCGCATTATAGTAACAAATGTTTAAGAATTTTTTAACGGAACAGGTAATGCAATGTTGTTCAAAGATATATAGTAATATAAAATATCCAAAGTATTTTTAAAAAAAATGAATTCACGTCAAAAGAACATATTATCTTTCACTTGGTATTAATGTCACCTAAATAATCGACCAATTCAAAAGAATCCTTCAAGAGAATACTTATATGAACGCTCTTGGATAGAATCCAGCAATATTTTCACCTATTTAGCTAGGCTATGTATAGGTGATCAACATATTAATAAAATTGGGCGTAAAGGAATATTTGAATAATAAATTTTAGGTAGCTCATATAAATGAAGATATTCTTTTTTATCAATAATATTTATATGCAGCAGTTTTAATAGGTTTGAATTTATTCTTCCCTCTAGTTTGCTAATACCTTCAAATTGGACATCAGATATTAATTTACTTTCATCACTTAGGATGGATAACATCTTATTTTTTATATTCGCTTTTGTTCATGATAAGAACATGCGATCCATTATCAGGCTTCAGCAAGTCAGTCAGTCACAACGTAGAACTTCGTACGTACGTACATCAGTTCGAGTTGCCATACCACATTAGCACAGAGATGCAGTTGTCGATTCAAATCCCATAGTCGTAGAAGTAGTAAGAGTTAGCTCAGTCGGTAGAGCATCAGGCTTCAACAAGACAATATCATGGTTTGTTCATATTTCTTTTAGTGACTTAAAATACTGAAAAACTAAATATGCTTCTCTGCTTTGGTCCACCAGTTTAGCTTTACACCAACTTTGATTATCTAAAGATGTAGGGGATAGTGTTTTCAGTTGATTGTAGAGATTTACAAATTGGGCATTTATCTCCAACTGAGACATTTGTGTTATAGTTTCACACTGTTTTTCTTTATTATTTTTGCTTCCTGTTACCCTCTATTTCTAGTCTAATTGACCTTTTATTTTTATATATAAATGTCCACTATCCCCATTTTTATTTAATTTCATCACAGACCTACTGGAAATGACACTCTCGTCGACTGAATTTTCAGGAATTGATCTCCTATCGGGAGGTCCCCTTATCGACTTAGAATATGCAGATGACATAGTCCTGACAAAATCCAGAATCTTCTGTTAGGACTGAGTAACAATACCAGGATATTCGGAATGCGTTTCTCCCCCTCTAAATGCAAATTGTTACTCCAGGACTAACCTACATCAACATCTAAACTAAGGATAAAGGGTGAAATAGTCGAACGCGTCGACAACTTCACTTATCTTGGAAGTCTGATCAGCCCTAATGGATTGGTGTCTGACGAAATCTCAGCTCCATTAGGAGTCACAGGCGTAAATAGGTTGTTAAGATTGTTGAAGTTTATTCCTTGACATGTACACTGAAACTAATGCTGAAAAAACATCAATCTTATTGTCACTTTCTGATTTCATTCGAATTTCAAACATTGTGGATTTGATACTATAAGACTAGAAACCAGTTTTTTAAGTCACTGTAACCAAGTGTATGGTATACTATCTTTAATATGTATATATGTTTATAACCCACAACGTTACCACTCTTCTTTTTTTATTATTCTTTTTAAAAATCCTAATGTATTTTATTTATGAACTATTTCATTGTGTTAACAACAACAACAAAAATGCAAACTGGTCGTATGTCGTTGCTTTTTTTTGTTTATCGTTTAGCCAGATCTGGCGGCCTATAAAGTCGAAATTCTTCATTGTTTATTTCAAAGATGTTTACAATGTGTAAATATTCCCATTTTTTTATAATGTTTATCTCTATCATAAGTTAGTGTTACTTTTAACAATCATTTTTAGTTTATATTCACGTGTACTTGCTTACTTCTTGGTTGATTGAGTAGAATGTTTCAATAATAGGGGTATAATTAGTGTTTCTATAACTTTTGTAATTTGGATTTAAATTATTAGATAAAGAGAGAGGCTCATTGAAGTAAATTCTTTTTAGTCATTGGTTACAAGATTCATATGATAAATATTATTGAACACTATATTACTCTGTATGTTGGTAGATGCAGACTACTTGGTTGGGGTTTGAGTGATTATTATAACCAATGGTTGGAGACTCTAGGTGACATGGCTCAGAATCGATCACAATGTAATGAGCGTATACACTCTTTGTCTTCCCTTAAACCTTGAGATTAAAATTACTTCATATCTGTCTTTCTTCCTTCCTATACTATATCCTTATATACAACCTTTCTTTTATATATTATCATCATTAAATTAACTACTTCTATGAATTCGATGTTCATCTTATTGTTCTAATGAGGCATGGCAACTTGGACTTGTGCATATATGTGCGTGATTCCACTTTATAGCTGACTGACTTACTAATACTCTTAAATATCTTATGATTGATAAACTGAATTATTCAGCTTGATTTCTTTCTTTTTTTTGTATGTGTTATGGGTGAATTCAATTCATTGTAGTATTCAGTTACTTAATGACTTTTGAACAATTTCGTACGGTCTTTTCATCAATGTATTCAAATCCATATTATGATTACAATCAGTGATACCGTGTATTCACACTTTTAGTAGCACAAACATCAAAAGAGTCCATCAAAATCAACGATAACAAAATTTGAAACATGGGAAATATAGGAAATTAAATTTAGGAATTACTTAAATGTGTCCAAATTTTCTGCAGTCATGTTCCACATATGGTCTATAATAACACCGAGTAATTAAAATAATCTATAATTCTTCACTTGCCTCAGATGAACAACAGTCAGTAACCCCTATAGTCAAGTGCTATGTTTGATTTTGGTCATCTATATCTATATATATAATTCTAATCTTTCACCACCCTAGTACATCGAAATAAACTGAAAATTTAATAGCTAATGAATTGTCCATAGAACTATCAATGCTTTTATCCATTCTGTGAACTGTACTGTTTAATTTTACTCTATCACAATACGTTGGTTAACGATTATGTAGAGAAATGTTTGTTGGATTCACTTTGATTGTTAATCTTGTTGTTTATAATCTGTGAATGCCCTGGTTTAGTCGAGAGTGGGGATAGTCCGCTCTGCCTCTCCAAATGCTCTCACATGGCCATGCGTATATAGCCTCTGTCAGGGAAGTCCTACTCACTGCCTTCTCAAGGCATTACTGTTGTTTACGAAATCGAGAAGACGGAAAGCGAATGTCCGGCGCTTTAACAGGGTTGGTGGACATGGAGGGTCCACCTCGAGGAGTTGGAAAACCTTGATTCTAAACCAGTGGTGCACATGGGCTCCAGTATCCTGAGAAAACAAATGGCGTTTGAATGAATTGTTGGTCGCCGGCTACCATGGGACTGCATCTCCTCACGATGCTCCACTGGTTTGCGGATCAGACCTTTATGTCAAAGGCTCCGGTTGTGACCCCCGAAGATAACCATCTGCTTTGATCTGGGCACCCGAGCAGTATCCTAGCCCTCACACAAATCGAACGATTTATGTAGCTCATATTTATCTGGTGCTTCCTTGTATCAGTATTTCTATGTTAAAATAAATAAATATTTCATTCAACGTTTTCAACCGTTGGGAACAACAACCGTGCGGAGCTCAATCAAGCAATGTACACCTACCGTTAACGCTCAGGCCGACAGTCAGTGACAAGTGGACTGAGATATCACCTCTATCTCTCCACCTACCTATTCCTATTGTAGTTTGTGGCTGCTTGTACATAACATGCATGCCAGCCATCTCAGCCGATACAGTCTCATAGTCTCATAATCCAATTTACCATCTTTGCCGAATACCTTACACTTAACCTTAACATTGTTCGCGACCCAAAACATTAACTTGAATAATAATTAAAAAAATCGATTCTTAGAGTAACCTCTACAGAACTCAGTTAGGAACATTATACTCTCATTATCGTCATTCATTATTTCTTTTTGCATTAAATAATTCAGGGCCTTCAATTTATATTTAAATTGGCTTTATCAATCTTGAAATTTTCTGCTGACAATTTGTTAAAATGTGATATGGAGTCAATGGTTGCTGTAAGTTTTTTTTTGGTATTTTTCGTTTATTAACGTTGTTTACGTGGTACAGATTAGTCTGCTTGGCATCATGACGCAGTTTAATTGTAATGGCTAGTGTCCCAACCAAAACAAATAGAGCAATATTTGAAACAGCAAACTAGTAGCTGAAAGTTGTCTCAACCCATTGCTAATACTAAATAGTGCACACACACGCTCATATGAAAATAGTCAAGGCTAATAAGCGTATAATTGACAAGGTCTAAGTCCTACATGTTATAAATGAATAAATCGGTCTGTCTGGAAACTAGTATGACTTATGTGGGCTTGACATAGTACCAGACTGAACGCCTTGGTGCTTGGAATGTAAGCTGCTGGTTTCATATCTTGATATGAACATCGGCTCCAGGATTGGTAGGTATATTAAGCTAAAAATCCCCAATAGGACCAAATATACGTCTTGGATTCCAATACTAGTTCACAGTCTATCTATTCTGCAAATCTTTTGGCTATTGTTTTTCCAAGCTTTTGTTTGCAGCTAATAGGCAATTATTCAGATCACACTAAATTCTTTTCCATACATATCTAATGTTTATATTTTTCAGTTCCTTCAACATGAAGGACCATTAGCGTGGGATAAATATTCGACTACTATATTTGAAAATGCTTGTTCGCTTAAATTGAATACAAAGAAAATGAAAAAGTAAGTTCTGTATGATGAAAAAGTCGCTGTTTTGTACACGTATTCTTTCCAGGTTCTAGTATACTTTTTCCCTGTGGTATGGCAACTCGAACTGATGTACGTACGTACGAAGTTCTACGTTGTAACTGACTGACTGACTGTGCCATACATAAATGTTTATGTATGCTCCGTTCGGTTACTTTACTTGACGGTTTAAAAATAGTTTTGTGACATGAATAATTATTTATTAAGTGTAGATAAGTAGCTCTGGTGATTGATTATAAATACTTTTATTGTTTCCGAGGAATTCGTTCCGAAAACATTGTTGATGCTCTCCTTTCAGTCCTTCCTATGTACTTGCTTCCACAAGTACTTGTTAGTTCGTAACTACACTTGATGATGACCTTAGAAAGTCTGAAACATCCAACTGTTAAACAATAAGCTTATCTTCATCCTTCTTGTATTTAAAAGTGAACATATTGTAAGCAGGATTGATAAGAGGACTAAAGCATCGCTAAATATAAGGTTTCCTTAAGTTCAACTTTTATTTTTACAGTGAATTTTAGTTGCTGACTATTCATAATTCAGTATCTATTAATATTATTGGTTATTTCTAATATCCGGTGAGCGAAATAATTGAGTTTATCAGTTATTCCATTTAAGAATAAAGGATTTAATTTCACTTGGCTAGTGATTAATATCGTAAAATGAGAGATTGATAAGCACCGTAAAACTCAATACATAATCACATCAGTTCGGTTTGCCGCGCTACGTCAACACATTGAGATAATTGAAATCATGAATAGATTTATGTTAGACCATCATTGAAAACCTGGAAGCATTGGAAGGGCGTTTCACCCTAGTATGGGAATCTTCATCAGTGCGCATCCACGATCCCGCGTGCGAGTACTTTACCTCTAGAACACTGAAACAACATCCAACAGTGTTAATGTCTAACTCCGATCAATTCACTATATTGTGCGACTATCTTTCATTGTCTTTGGTGAATAATTGCCCCACGCTTGACACGGATTGTACCAAAATGGTCATGGCTTCTCTTTATAACTCTGAGAATTATCGCTCTTAGTTAATCACTAATGAGCACATGATAATTATGAGTATAGGGTTGCGGAGTTTGTTGAGTTTTGAGTGAGAGTGAAAGAGAAAGAAACAAATACGTTAATGTATCAACGTTACGGCGAGTTATATTAACCAATCTATTAATCACATTGAGCTACAATTGTTGTATAAACTCCTAATTATCAGTCTATATACAAAATATATATTAATCTAATTCACTAAATAATACTATATGTTTAATCGCAGCAAAAATATACCTTTTATTCGGTTATTCTCCAGAGTTTGCATATTTTATTACTGAACTTTGATTTTCTTGAATCGTTGTATATGAATGTCTCTATCATTTTTGTCTTTCCAAATTTAATTCACTGGATTATACTGCTTCAATAACATCTTCAAACCCTAATCTTTCCGATTACTGCTTATACTCTTACTACCTCTATCACTATGAGATTTGAATCGACAACTAGACCTCTGTGTTAATGTGATATGGCAACTCAAAATGATGTATGGACTTACGAAGTTCTACATTGTGACTGACTGACTGTGTATGAATAATTGTCAATTATTCTCTTTGTTTTTTCCATTTATAATTATAGATTAGCGAAAGAATACATGACAATGCGTAGTCAAGAACGAGAGGAACAAATTGAATTACGTGTGAGTATCCCAATATATATATATATATATATATATATATATATATATCTTTGGGTGTATAATCAAAGCGGTAGGAATCTTTTGTCCGTACATAAAACGTATAGTTTACAGCTCGTAACAATACGATGTGATCGATGAAATTCGATCAGCACTAGTGAACTAGATAAATATGATATTGCTTACTACTCAATGATCAATCTGTGTAAACATTTTAATCTTACAAAAGTTCAGTTGATTTACGAATAGCCTGTTGGTAATGTTACAGACTAGAAAAAAGCTAGGTGATTTCTAGGTTAATGTCCTCAGGAAGTATCAGTTCTCTCAATGTTGCAGGTATGCTTCATGACAACTAGTGAAGAAATTAAGTTCAGGATTTCTTACCGACTTCCATCAACTAACTATGTAACACATTAAACATTACGTATTGAGTTATCCTTAACAATAGAACAATTTCTGTTACTACATAACAATTATAATTAGAAAATCAGAGGTGATCAACTAGAATTCTTTAGACCCCCAAATGCTTTGGTACGGCCGAGAGTGGGGAGGGTCCGCTCTCCTTCTCTAAATGCTCCCACGGGTATATAGCCTCTGTTAGGGAAGTCCTACTCACTACCTTCTCGTGTCACGGGTGTTGTTCATGAAAATGAGAGGATGAAAGGTGGATGTCCGGCGCTTTAACAGGGTTGGTGGACACTGCGAGTCCACCTCGAGGAGTTGGGAAACCCTGATTCCTAACAATTGGTGCTCATGGGCTCCAGTATCCTGAGGGAACGAATGACGTACGAACCAATTGTCGGTCACCGGCTACTTTGGGACTGCATCTCCTCACGATGCTCCACTGCCTTGTGGGTTAGACCTCTAGGTCATAGGCTCCGAGTGTGGCCCCCTAAAAATACCACCTGCTTCGGTTTGGACACCCGGGTAGTATCACAGCCCTCACACAAATGAAATGATTTTGGCGCATATTTATCTGGTGCCCTTTTGTACCAATATGTATGTGTTTAAAGGAATAAATAAATAAGAATCTTTTAGTCTGGGCTTTTATACTAGTTAACGATTATGGACAAGGTTCGCCTGAAGTAGAGAAAAAGGAAAATAATGTTTCCCATCTAACTGAAACTCATTTCAATTCGTTTACTATGATCTACATACACATTCATGTATTCTATGTTGAGTTCAAGTTAATCAAACCAATAAAACGAAAGTTTGAAAAGTCAATTAATTGCCTGATTTTCACCGCGTTCCTTTTCGAAATTTTGTTTTTTATTATCTGTTCTTCATTACTATTACTGTGTTACGTTTTCCTTTTAACACCAAATTTGATTTTCTCTTGTTTTACTAGTTTATATTGTTTCAGATTGACTATATGTACAATTATGCTAATGCACTACTTTGTATTACAATATACCCAGCCACTGCCTACTTAAATTGTATGATGTTTGCTAGTGAAGTAGTAGGTTAGAAGAAATCTAGAGATGGGACAAACAGTCCTCATTAGGACTCACGCGATTATTGTTACTAAACGTTGCGACACAGATTAAATGATTTAAATTTAGTGACACTAGAGCAAATACTTTCACCCTTTGTTTTCTTTTCGATATTAAGCTTTGAGGTTTATCTTATATTGTTTTTTTCTTTACTCCTAAATCACACTGTTCATACTTACTATTTCTTAAAATTATTACTTTCACTACTCTAACGATTTTGTTGATAATATGATCTCATTGTGATAACATTCTGTATCAACTTCACTCAACACACAATTGTTCTACGTTCTTCCTTATGATTAATTGACAACTTTTCTTATGACTGATTGACTGAATACATAATTCTTACGAAGGCTTTATCCTGCAGAAATTCATTAGGAAACCTATTTCAATAGATTATCATGTAATATATTTCGTAATAATCTTCTTTGTCTTTTAATAAATCATCTAAAATTTACATACTTTGAAGATTCTGCTTTATAACAGCTTTTTCTCTTGTTACTCACTGTTTTGTAATTCCTGGTTAGAGTTTTTTTTCGCGAGTTAGATGTGTACGGGATGGGGTCATACACACCCCATGCTCGACCCTCCTTTATCCAGGCTTGGGACCGGTAGTAGCCCCCGGAGGACCTACAAGCGGAGTTGTTCTGCAATATATTTTAATATTCGACGTTAAAATCAAGTAATCAGAATATCTTGATTAACTTTTCTAAATATGCCTTTTTTCATGTAACTTTTAGCGTCTTCGTACGGAAAACGGATTATTATTACAACGTTTAGCTCGTTTAGAAGAGGTAAGATTAATTTATTATAGTCTTTATTCAAGCTATCATTATTATGTATGCGTTACGCGTTGTAAATTATTTAGCTGACCAAATCTAAACAATGTGCATAAAAATGAGCTAATAATGTTATACCCGGAATGGTAACTTTGAGAACTATTTATGAACCAATATTTATGTTCCTTTTATGATGAGCTTTATTTTGACCCATGGACTATTAGTGTACGATTTACCATTCTTCAGTTATAGCCAGTCTATTAATTACTGTCCCCCCGATTCACAGCTACATTTAGCCAAATCTTGTACAAATTTTATTTTCTATTTTATGGTACGATGTAGTCTGTTTGATTAATATATCAACCCAGTATGTTTGAGAATAACGATTCATACTGCATAGACTGTTATTGGTATTCTAGACTTAACTGGCTAGGCTAGGCAGATAGCAGGACTGATAAGTACTCAAAACTGCTTATACGACTTGTGTGTATCATTGCTCTGATGGATAGTTCGCTGTCCTCTAATTGGCGGTCTTATAACGTCATATAATAACAGGACACTCAGGCAATCTATATAACAAATAATACTTTTATAAACCATAACTAATATTGTTTTACTTAATATGTAGATAAGTTTGTATTTACTTACGCCTGTTAACCCTCATAAACCGTCCATCAGCATTCTCCATCCAACTCTGTCCTCGACAATCCTTTCCAATTACTGTTCATGTCTACTTCTGATTCTCAATGTAGTGTGTTCTTCAGCCTTCCTCTTTTTTCGTTTCCCTTCAGGATTCCGAGTTAGCGTTTGCTCCGTGATGCAGTTTGGTGATTTCTATAATGTATGTTCTATCTACTTCCATTGTCTTTTCCTAATTTCCTCTTCAGTCGGAAGCTGAATTGTTTTGTCCTACAGTAGGCTGTTGTTGATGATATCCGGCCAGTGAATGTTGAGTATCATGCGTAGGCAATTGTTTATCAATACTTGTATCACTTTGATGATGGTTGTGGTAGTTTACCAAGTTTCAGCTCCGTATAGTAGAACTATCTTGAATTTAGTTTATCATGTATGAATATATTATTTATTCATATTATTATATGCTAATTTACATGTTTTTGATAGATGATATGCAGAGTCTCAATTTGTTTATCGCTATTTTTTGTTCGCGTTTTTCAATCGATTGTTTTTATGTATATGTTATGATACTGTTTAATGCATTCGTGTTAACTCGGAATAATAACAATATCCATCATAGAAGATACTTCACATGTTCACGTGTTTTCTAAATCTTCCGCATACATTTGATGTTTTGTAAATAAGATATAGTTCAACAGATTTTGTCTTAGGAGAAAGATAAACAAATTTATTTGACATATATAGTTGAAATCATTAGTCAGTTGAAGCTAGACCACCACGGAAAACCTGGAAGCACTGGAAGTCTGTTTCGTCATATTATGGGACTCCTCAGCAGTACGCACCGACGATCCCACCTCGCGAGACTCGAACCCAGGACTTACCGGTCTCGCACCAGAGCACGTAACCACTAGACCACTGGGCCTTTATCCAACGGTGTTAATGTCTAACTTCAACCGATTCACGAAGTTGAGCAACCATTACACCAATGACATTGGTGAAGTTTATTTGAGTTTATTAGTGAAAAATTGTCAGTACTTTCTACATTTATACATCTTTAGTTTATTGTATAGAAATAGAATAAGTGAAAGAATCCATGATACATTCAACCAAGAATAATATACAATTCATTGTTGATAGGTTAGAATCATATAACATCAACTTTATTGACATATATTTAGAGATTCTGTTATATAAGTCACTCTCCATTCTTCTAACACACATATATTACTGAAGATACTTATCGATCAGTAAATACAACTGAAATGAAGTAGCAGATTCCTTAGGTTTTAATAGATTACTCGAATCATAATCTCTATTCTGCAGAAGTTTCCAAAAGAATTCAAGAAATCGCTTAATTCTACTTTCATTACTGTGATTAGGATTTCATCGAATTTATCATGAATTATTTGTTTTCCAATCACCTGTATAAAATTTTCAAGTCTTGTGTAGTCCTATAAAAACCACTGGTTTTTGTATGTAAAATAACCTTTTTTATTCTATCTACATACATCCCTCAAACGCCCTGGTACGGCTATTTGTAGCCTTGGATACATAATATGTAGATATATACCTCTAATGTACATGTTGTTTACGGTTGTTTATCTATCCTGTTCGGTTTTAAAGTGTATACTTATTAAATGATTACTAGTTAAATCCTTTTTATAGGTCAATACACGTTATTGAATGTAAATCATATCTTTTCTGTATAGAAGTACAGTTATATACATTATTGTATCTTAGTAATTAGTAATAACAGTTATAATGAATCCATAGTATCAAATATATACTGTTACAATAACAAATTCCTCTCTTTTATATATACACATATATATTCCAATTATGTGAATATTGAAAACCATTTTGCCAAGACAACACTAGTTAACTGTAATTCATCCTTATTAGCAAACGTTTACAATTTCATTTCACTTTTATAACTTAACCAATAATATGTAAATTTGAATACGATCGATCGTTCAAAGAACAGATGATTAAGAAAATAGATTACATCAAAATCACTCTAATAAGCAAAGATGGATAGTGGCTATTAGTGGAATCCAGGACGCGCGAACGGTACTGGGTTCGAGTCTTAGAGTGAACATCAACTCTGAGATGCAGGTACATCCAGCTGACCAGTCCCAAATAGAAGGAAATGCACGTCCTGAATTCCACTGCTAACCACTATTCATCTCTGCTTACCATGCTTGTAAATTTAGGCTATATAGAGGCAATACACACAGTATGCACATATGCCAATAAAAGACTGATCAACTGCAGTCCTAAATATCAATGGGAAAATTCAACTAAACAATACTAAGTGAATTTAATCACTATGATAGTTTTCCTTTTGAATAATAATGTGTTTAACTACTCAACAAGTTTGTAAACTATTTATAGGAGGTTATAAGTAATAAATTTAACGAGTATACTGAATAACCAATGAATGAAAGTTTAAGAATACCTTATTATAAAATTTGTATCATTAAATAAAAATAATGATCAAAAAAGTTTTAAGTTGATCCCCACTATTGATAAGTGAAGTTTATCAAAACTTTATTAGTGTTCGAAACTCTGAAGATTTCGTAATTATGAGTTTAGATTTTAATCAGAAGGGGATTTGTGGAGATTTCAGTATATTTCAAAGTTGAAATCATGAGTCAATTGAAGCTAGACCACCATCGAAAACCTGGAAGCACTGGACGGCCGTTTCGTCCTATTATGAGACTCCTCAGCAGTGCGCACCCACGAACCCGCTCTCGCGAGCGAGATTCGAACCCAGGACCTACCAGTTACGAGCCAGAGCCCTTAACCGATAGACCACTGAGTTTAGATTTCTTTGACATGAAATAATGTTCATTTCTTGCTCTTGGTACCGTGATCAGTCGTACTCTAAATAACTTATCACTATAACGTACCTTGTCGAATAGTGTTCAAATTTCGTAAGATTATGGTGCCATATTATTACTAGTCTTTGTAAAAATTGAAAACTAGTTAAAATAATTGACATTCATTCAGTAGATCTGAGCTTAACATATTTAAAACTAAGTTGATAATTAAGATTATTTGTTTTCGTACTATAAATTTTGTTCCAAATCAAGCTCTTTAATAAACGTATTCTGGTACTGTGACTGATATATACCAGTTCTGCACAGTTCTCTTTCATAACGCCGGGCTGTGTTATAAACTGACAACCTCTGCTTTTTGTTTCATCTGAAGTTGGGAAATAATGGACAATATCAAAATGAGGGGAAATGACACTTTTAAACACAATTTCTATTAATTACTATAACGATACTGAGCGCATGATATTATTCAGTGAGTAGCATGACAAATTTTTATTTCAAACTGTAAGGATGGCTCGTTGGCAAACTAAAGAACTCCATCCAGTCACCTCTAGGGGAACATTCTGGAGTGTCGACATGTAGCTTCTCTATTAGATGAATAAGAAGCACCCTCTATGTGTCTATTGGCTGTCCGAAATGATGATTTACTTTCATCCCAAAACTACAAATACATGAAATTTTTGTACTTTATTTGACACTGTTTGGAATAAGATTCCTACTTACTCGTCTTCTATCTTCTTATTTTGCGGCTTGGGAGAGTTCTAACGCTCCAGTGCTCAAGTATTACGCGATATACTAAGAGTCTAAATTCAAGATATAACACAAACTAATTAGGATTTTAGAATTTAGTCAACTAATCACATACTATATGTTGTTTTTCTATTTATTATCTTCAAACACATAAATATTGGTATAAGGAAGCACCAGATACTTATGCGCCGCACTAATCTCACTTGATTTATGTGAGGGCTGTGGTACTGAAAAGGTGCCCAAACCGAAAGAGGTGGTTTTCTTAGGCGACCACACCCGGAGCCTTTGAACTAAAGATCTGATCCACAAGGCAGTGGAGCATCGTGAGGAGATGCAGTTCCATGGTATTCAATGACCGACGATTGATTCATACGCCATTTGTTCCTTCAGGATCCTGGAGCCCATGTGCACCATTGGTTTGGAATCAGGGTTTTCCAACTCCCCTAGATATACTTTCCGTGTGCACTGACCCGGTTGAAGGACTGAACATTCGCTTTTCATCCTCTCAATTTCGTAAACAACGACCCCGCCACGAGAAGTCAGTGAGTAGGACTTCTCTGACAGGAGCTATATACGCGTGGCCATATGTGAGAGCATTTGGAGAGGGAGAGCGGACTATTGGCCGTATCGTCATCTTAATATGAATATTATTAATCGTTTTTTTTTAAATTATTCCAGACTATATTTAACTGATTGATTAAATGGTTTCACACTTAAATTACATTTCAATATGTTTTAACACAGTTTTTCATTACCATATTTTCTCCTCTGTTTTTTTTTATAAATATTATGATTTTACTTAAATCTTATTATTAGGAAAGTGGAATAATGGCTGATCGTTTAGTTAAATGTCAATTAATTCGTGCACAAGAAGCTGAAACTACTATTGCATTACGTTGTGAATTATCTATATTAAAACGTGAATATGCTAATTTAAATTCAAATTCTCATTTAATAAATAATGAAATTATGGAAAATAATAATGAACAACATAAATTATTATTGGTAAGTATTTAATTGTAAATTGACTTCTTTACTCTTGATAATTGGACTTAATTACAGAAACTAAGATTCTTGTCTTCTCTTTTTTTGTGCATAACATAATTCCTAATCAGAAGGAGTTTTGTTGAAATCATTAGCCATTTGAAGCTAGACCACCACGATGGAAAACCTGAAAGAACTGGACGGTCGTTCCGTTCTACTACGGGACCCCTCAGCAGTGAGCATCCACGATCCCGCCTCGAGAGCAAGATTCGAGCCTTGGACCTACCACTCTCGCACCAGAGCCCTTAACCGATAGACTACTGAGTCGGCATCCAACGGTGTTAATGTCTAACTTCAACGGATTCACGAAATTGAGTAACCATTCACCAATGTCATCAGTGAGTTGATATCTCCCAACATACCTGGTTGAACTCCACCTCTTACTACTTCTCACTAGAACTCCAGGAAATACCTGATGGAGCCAGTACACTATTGAGCACATGATCATTGTCAGAAGGGTTTTTGTGGAGATTTTAGTAATTTTATAGAGTTGAGATCATGAGTCAGTTGTATCATGTTAACGCACCTCATTAACACAACAAGATAAACATCAAATTCATAGAAGTAGTTACTTCAATATTGTTTATAATTGTACTTCTTGCTTCATATATCATATAAAGGTTAATTACATTCTTACTATTTATTACATAAACATGTGATCATCATCCTTTCTCATCTAAATGAGTATGCATTATTGTGTTGTTATTGTTATTGTTGGTGTTGTTTTCAACATGACACACACACACACAGAGACCTTGCTCATCTTTTTTATTTAAAAAGAAAAATGTCATAAATAAATATCTGTAGATAACCTTATTGTATTATAATCTACATCTTAACAATCATTTTCTCATCTCTTATGATAATGTTTAAAGTTATATATAATGGAGATGAGGGGGGGGGTAAGGGGAAAGGACTGAATACTCCTCAAAACAATTAATCACTAAGTAAATAGAAGTAATTCTATAATTGTTTCTTATGACACTGACATATTCATCAGTATTTCTAATATGTCAATTTTCAATAAAGATAAAAATATGAAAATGAAATGGTTAACATTTTTTTGTTTCTATGAAATACTTTCTTAAATACAATCCATTATAATGATTATTATCTTATTAGTTATACATCATAAATAGTACATTGTACATTAGATTCATATAATTCAAAGTAACCTATACCTCATCTAGATCTTGATTATTGAATTGATTTTATCATTTAAATAAACTAGTATTAATAGTAGTTTATAACTTAGTAGTTAATATGTTGAACATTTGAAATGAAAAGTATGTGTTACAGTATGTATATTAATTCCATGATCTAGCTAGTTACATTCACTTGAAAAGTTCTAATTATGTTGAAACTTTTATTCTGGATTTCATTTTCAACAACACATACCGACTATAGTCAAATACGAGGTTATAAATTTTCATTGACTGAGATGGTTGTGCCACGTGTTACGTATACGTGGGGAGAGTCACCTCTCCCTCTCGAAATACTCTCATATGGCCAGCGAATATATAGCCTCTGCCAGGGAAGTCCTACTCACTGCCTTCTCGTGGCGGGGTCGTTGTTTACGAAAGTGAGAGGACGAAAAGCGAATGTCCAAAGCTTTAACCGGGTTGGTGGACACGGAGGGTCCACCTAGGGGAGTTGGAAAACCCTGATTCCAAACCAGTGGTGCACATGGGCTCCAGTATCCTGATGGAACGAATGGCGGACGAACCTGTCATTGGTCAATGGCTACCATGGGACTGCATCTCCTCACGATGCTTCACTGCCTTGTGGATCAGACATTCAGGTCAAAGGCTCCGGGTGTGGCCCCCTAAGGAAACCACCTGCTTCAGTCTGGGCACCTGTGCAGTATCACAGCCCTCACGCAAATCGAATGAGATTTGTGAGGCGCATATTTATTTGGTGCTTCATTGTACCAATATTTATGTGTTTAAATAAATAAATAAATCAAATAACGTATACATGAACACCGATAACCACAATGCACTATGTTGACTAGTATTGGCGATGGTTGGAAGAGAGTTAGAGGCGGCCATACTAAAACATGGCATCAGTCCACAAAGTCACTAACTTCTAGTCTGAGCCATGTTGGCAGATGCAGACTACTTGGTTTGGGGTCCGTGTGACTATCGTAATTAATGGTTGGAGACTCTAGGTGACATGGCTCAGAATCGTTGTAGCTGACTGACTGACTATAATAAAATCTCATTAGTGTTAATGAAAAGTGATAAATATATGTATATATTTAATGTAAATTCAAAATCCATCATGATTTGATAGAAATATTTATCATTTATTGCTCTTTAAAGCCCCTTCTGATAATGATCATTTGCTCAATAGTGTACTGGCTCCATCAGGTATTTCCTGGAGTTCTAGTGAGAAGTAGTAAGAGGTGGAGTTCAACCAGGTATGTTGGGAGATATCAACTCACTGATGACATTGGTGAATGGTTACTCAATTTCGTGAATCCGTTGAAGTTAGACATTAACACCGTTGGATGCCGACTCAGTAGTCTATCGGTTAAGGGCTCTGGTGCGAGAGTGGTAGGTCCAAGGCTCGAATCTCGCTCTCGAGGCGGGATCGTGGATGTTCACTGCTGAGGGGTTCCGTAGTAGGACGGAACGACTGTCCAGTTCTTTCAGGTTTTCCATGGTGGTGGTCTAGCTTCGATTGACTCATGATCTCAACTCTATAAAATTATTAAAATCTCCATCGAACCCTTTTCTTTGAATTCAGTTTTAACTGTTTTCCATATTTATTATTTCTTGGTTGCGTTTGTTTTGCTAAATTACATAGGATACTTCTGAAAATTACTGGCTTACATTCCATAATTATTTCCAGGATATAATTTTCTTATTCATTTAATATGAAATCTAGTTTATATTATTAGACTGACTCTCAATGGACAGTTATTAACAACTAGAGATCATGAGACGGTTATTTTGTTTTAACTATAGAACTTCTTACTACTCCATACCCATGTGCGCACTGGGTACTGAAATCGAGATTTTCTGGTTTCATATTTAACGTGTTTCAGTACCTAATTATAAGGACGGCTCGTTGGTAAACTGTAGGAAGCCTTAAGAAGCCCAGAAAGAGCCGAACATATTCCATCCAATCACTGCTAGGAGAATATTCTAGAATGTCGACATGTGGCTTCCCCATTGGATGGATAAGAATGACTCCTATGTGCCTATTGGTTGACCGAAATGATGATTTACAATCAGCCAATAACTATAAATACATGAGATTTCTGTACTATATTTTGACACTGTTTTGGTAAATAAAAGTTTCTACTTACTAGTCTTTTGCATTCTCTCTTGCGACGTTGCGGGTTCTATCGTTCAAGTAGTCTAGTAGTACGCGGCATAATAATAATCAAGGCTCTAGATATAACACTAATAGTTCACATCCTAAACATCAGTTGGATTTTTTTTACTATCAGTGTTACTATTTTTATTATTTGGACTCCTTTTGATCTTTTGTCAGTGATTGTGTGTTAAATGAGTTAATTTGGATCGATGAGCATTTTTACCAGGTCCTATATGGCTTTATGATGATAATCTTCGTGCTATTTTGTTTTCAAATTTCCTAGTGCATTTCACTTGCCTCTCCTTAAGGAATGTTAATGACTATCCCTCTATAAAACCATTCAGAAAAAAAATCAGTCTTTTGAGACCGTATGTTGTCATATTGAATTTCAGTAAATTGTAAAGATCCTCAATTCCATGTTCTTTCCAACAGGGAATTGGCTAATAATATCGCTGTTTTTTCCAGATATTTCAAAGCTTTTTGATTTTTTCCTTCTAAGTAACAAGCCAGAAAGCTAGTGTCTTATACATATGATATATTTGTCATGGATAGGTTATTATTAATTAGAACCTATGTATTCTTTTTAATAAGCTCTGCTTTTATAAATATCTATTTTTCAACGACCCCAAATAGATCTGTGTTTGAAGTTGTTTGATAAAAGGGAAGATTACAAAAGTCATAATATAGGATATCATTCTGTGATCAATCGATGTCAATACTTTTAATCTAGGAAGCTGTAATTCACTGTCTAAATCGCTCAGTGGCAATTTCTCTAATTGGTACTAGGTAATATGACTTTTAAGTTCATGGGAGCGCGTAAATCTCCAAAAGATTGTTGATAAATCTTTCTTATAATTATCAACTAGCAATAGGTTCACAATAATTTACCGATCTCCTTCAACTACTACCAATAAATAATTTGTACGGTTGTAGCTTTATTTATAATTTTTTGAGTATCTTCCCTGATAGTTAATATAACAATTATGCTTCAATCTTTATCTCTGTAAAAGATATATTAATCTTTATCTCAGTGGCCGAGTGGATAACGCGATGGCGTTTAAAGCGAAAGGCACTGAGTTCGAATCCCAGAGTGAACATCAACTCTGAGATACAGGTACATCCAACTGGAAGTTCTAAATAAGACGAAACGCGCGTCAAACTGGATTCCACTGCTAATCATAATCCATCTTTGCTATATCTTTATTGGTTTTTTCTCTTAGATAATTCACTTTTCTTTATCCCCCAAATTTTCCTTCTTTTTCTTTTTAAAAAAAAATTCTATCATAGGAATCAGTTACAATGAATAATGATGGTGTACTACCAACAAATGAGAAGACAGTAAATACCACTATTATCAACACGAATACAACAATCTCAATGGATAAACCAACAATTACAAATCAGAATTCTATTAACAATGCTACAATACATCAATCACTTGTTAATGGTTACTCATCACCTACTTATAATCGTCAGAATAATTATACTACTAATCATACTACTAATAATGATAATAATATTTATTCTTCATTAAATGATCAACAACTAAATAATTCTTATGATTTTTGTACATTACCAAGATCAAGAAATCGTGATTATCAAACAAAAAGTATTAATCATAATGAAATAAAAAATGATGAATTATTATCAACAACTGTTAATCAATTACAAACAGATTTAGTAAATTCACGTTTTAATGAAGCGGATGCTAAAAAGGTGTTACATGAATTACGATGTAAATTACATGAATTAGAAGAGGTAAATACATGGATAATTATTCATTCTATTTTTATAATTCATAATAAAAGATGTGTTACATAATGGTTGAATCCATAAGTTAATTAAAGCTAAACTATCATGGATAATCTGAAAGCATATTGGATGACCGTTTCGTCCTAATATGGGACTCCTCGGTAGTGTATATCCACGCCCCCGCGAAATTCGAAAGTTTATACTCGGTTTTGATTTGGTTTGATATTAATTATTTATTTAAACACGTAAATATTGGTACAAAGGGGTACCAGATATATATGCGCCACACAAATATCATTTGATTTCTGTGAGGGCTGTGATACTGCCCGGGTGCCCAGACCGAAGCAGGTGGTTTTCTTAGGGGACCACACCCCGAGCCCTTGACCTAAAGGTCTGATCCACAAGGCAGTGAAGCATCGTGAGGAGATGCAGTCCCATGGTAGCCGGTGACCAACGATTAATTCATGCGCCATTTGTTCCCTCAGGATTCTGGAGCCCATGTGCTTCATTGGTTTGGAATCAGGGTTTTCCAATTCCACTAAGTGAACTGTCCGTGTCCACCAACCCGGTTAAAGCGCCGGACATTCACTTTTCGTCCTCTCAATTTCGTGAACAACAGTAATGTCACGAAAAGGTAGTGAGTAGGACTTCCCTGACAGAGGCTATATAGCTCGATTGCATTTACCGAATCCCTCACAAATGGAATCAATTCAAGTTGAATGATCGGTAACTGTGTACTTTGTAATTGAGTTATAAATCTAGGTTGTGTTTTTCTTTATTTCTTTAAAGTTATTATAGGTATCAATGCCAAGATTAGACCTAATAGTTTAAAAAAATGAGTATTGGGTTGACAGTTAATTATATATATTTGTGTATTGTATCCCAATGAGTAGAAGAAGAGTATTTCTGACGTTTCGTAACTTAATGTTAGCCGCTTCTTCAGAGTGACTGAACAAACCGTTATTTAATCACTCTGAAGAATTGGGTTCAAATTAAGTCACGAAACTTTAGAAATACAATTTTTCAACTTTGTGGTATATATCTAAAAAATATGTTTATTATTTACAGTTATGGGTTCTTATTAATAAAATAGTGGATATGTGACTATGAAATGAAGTCGATTATACTAAACTTCGAGTTGGTTTATATCAGTTGAAGATGTTTTACGTTTAACGAATAAGTGAATAAATTTAAAAATTTCTTCATTTATCTATCTAAACACATACATATGCTCCTTGTACAAGGAGCAACCAAATATATACGCGCCACACAAATCTCATTTGATATGCGTGAGTGCTGGAATACTGAATTTGATTTAGTTCAATTGATACTATGGTGTGCTACTTATATCGACAGATGTATCATCAGTCGAAAGTGAAATGCCTGATGGCAGAAGTTTGCGAATATCGAGAACAAAGAATGATTGGTATGGAAACGAAGGATCAATCAAGTCTGAGACAATTGATTGACATTTTGCGAATGAAGTATGGTTCTACGATTTTACTAAGATATTCTGTAATTTTATATGCAAATACATTTAGTTTCCCCCATTGGTGTCCTTGTTCACTACAGATACTGGTCATTACCAAATCACTGATAAGCATAGAATTTATACTGAACATTAAAGATAAAGTCTTCGATATTTGATTTTGATAAATAATTTTTTTTTTAACATCAACAACCGAAGAAGTGTTTCATTTTTTTTATTAAAGTCTGTAGCTCTCTGGTTACGTACTAGACTTTTAAAAGATGGAGTCAAATCTCGTAGTAAAGATTATTCAGCAGAATAAAACGAATGATACCTTTGTATATTTACTTAGATTCTTCTAGGAGTTCGGAAATTACTAAAAACACTTGTAAAACAAAATAGGGGCGGTCAAACCAAAACGTGGCATCAGTGCTTGAAGTCACTAACTTCTATTCTGAGCCATGTTAGTGGATGCAGACTAGTTGGTTGGTGTCCGTGTGACTATCGTAAGCAATGGTGGGAGACTCTGTGTGACATGGCTCAGAATCCATCACAATGGCGTAGGTGTAAACACTGTTTATCTTACCTTAAACCTTGAGATTAAAATTGCTTCATAACTTTCTTCCTTACTATACTATATCCTTATATACAGCCTATCTTTTATATATATTTTCACCATTAAATTAACTACTTTTATGAATTCGGTGTTGATCTTGTTGTGCTAATGAGGTATGGCAACTTGGACTGATGCATAAATGTGACTGATTTTACGTTGTAGCTGACTAACTGACTTGTAAAACAATCATTATCTTTTTAAGATTCTAGAATATTCGCTGATATTTTATCTTCTTAGTCCAGTTAAACTAACTAGTGGATATTTCTTATTCATTAAGTTCTATATTCACTTTAATAGATTTCACCAGCTCAAGATTATCGTAACCATTTGAATCAACTTTAGTTATTATAAACTGTACTGTTATATTCATTCAATGATATTTGAATTTCAAATGATTGATAATGCTGAAAGTCTTCGATATCAATCGTGATCTCGACATTGAATACCCTCTCCTAATATACAATGCTTTAGTAATGGATTACACTGCTAGCCACCATCATCTCTCCTTATAATACGATAATTTCTGTTTATATTCTTGCTATATTATTTATCATTAGTGATTACTCACACGGAAAATATGACTCAAGATTGAGTTCATAAACAATGCTTTGATTACTGTGTCATTTTGTACTGCTATACTTTTGAAAACATTTGAATTCTTAGTTTTACAATACCTAGAGATATGATATGATTGGCTTAAAGATAATGTTATTCGATTCAAGGTCACAATCTAATCAATTATCTCTGTTGCTAAGACGTTTGCTTTTAATGTAAACACTATAACAAAATCAACTATGGTCATATACCATCAAATCTAAATGACTTAGCATAGCAAACGGTAAAACTCTCTTATTTCTTTAATTACTTAATGTCTTATCTTGGTTACAAAACAGTGACGTGTTCTTCCATTGTCAGTAAAAGTTTATCTTTTTTGTTCAATAAAATACCTCCCTCATTCTTCGGTAAAAATAGACTTTCATCTTTTCTTTTGAAGGACTTATGCCTTTTCACTAATAAAGACCTAATTAGTATAGTGAATACTTTACATATATTTATGGTAGGTACTACTGTAATGAGCGAGAACACAATTGATGACAATCGGATTTATTTTTAACATAAAATTACAGAATCTCTTTATAAAATATGAGAACCATACAGTACACTGTTTATTTGCAAAATATCAATCAATCATCTTGGTCTTCTCTATTCTTTCATTTCCACAGCAATCATTCTTTGTTCTCGTTCTCTTTCCTTCGATCTTCTGCCACCAGGCATTTCACGTTCAATTGATGCCACATACTACACATATCTGTCGACATCTGTAGTACACACTTTTCTACTATTAACTATACTCTGACAATTAAATGCCAAGTTCACAAGTTCAATAAACAGTAATACATATTGGTCAACATTATTGTATACATTTAATTATGCATAATTAGCTAAAGGAGTATTCTAAATGCTCTGCATAACTATATTATTTGAATTGATTTCTAGTATTTAAAGACTGCCTATTAGTTAGAAAAGAAACTTTCCCTTTGCCGATTATCATCACATATAAGCTTATTATTTTCATCTTCAGTATCCGTATATGTTATATTACTAGTTTAAATATGGATGACGTGTTTACTATCACTCATATTAAATTAGGATAGATGAAGTTAAATGGTTTGAATTATTTTGTTTCTGGTTAGCGTATTTTTAACGAATTAGATTTTCTACGGGATGGGGTCGCTAACCCCATGCCAAACCCTCTTGCTTTACCCGGGTTTGGGACCTGCAGTAACTGTAGAGGAGCTACAGGCGGAAGGGATTGCCCTGGACAGAGTTGGATGGAGAATGCTGGTGAGCGGCCTATGCTCCTCGACGAGGGGTAACAGGCATAAATAAGTAAGTAGATGAAACTTTAAAAACGGAACTAGCTTCGAAACATATCTGTCCGAATTCCTGGTGAAAATCTCTTGTATGTCGCATTGGTTATTGTAAGAGTGGTTGTTATGAAGTCGGTTTTTTGTTTCTTCTAATAATTTTCTTCCACTTCTTAATTCCACAACACAATATATGATTACAAATATCAGTCAAAATCGGATCAATCCCTTCGATCAACTGAACAAATTGCTGTATTAAAAGATGAATTATTTGGTGCAAAACTTCGAGAAACAGAATTAATTAATCAAATTGATGAGTTGAAAAGAAGATTTGATGATTTAAATTCACTTTGGCAGGTTAGCTAACATTATGTTATTTAGTCGTAGAACATTAATTTATTCATTTTTATTTACTAATGACCTTCTTTTTCGATGAGAATTGTAGCACTTTGATCCGATAAATTTTTATGCTAGATAGTATTTTGGTTATGACTACCTGATCTTATTTTTTAAGTAAGTAAGTAAGTAGTATTCCGTGGACGCTCAACTTCGAGATCAACAAGCTGGATTTCGTAAGGATAGATCGTGCACAGATCAAATCGCAACTCTACGTATCATTGTGGAACAATCAATCGAATGGAATTCATCACTGTACATCAACTTCATCGACTACGAGAAGGCATTTGATAGCGTGGACAGGACGACACTGTGGAAGCTTCTTCGACACTACGGTGTGCCTGAGAATATAGTAAATATCATACGGAACTCCTATGATGGCCTAAACTGCCAAATCGTCCACGGAGGACAACTCACCGACTCGTTCGAGGTAAAGACCGGTGTTAGGCAAGGTTGCCTACTCTCACCCTTTCTCTTTCTCCTGGTGATCGACTGGATTATGAAGACGTCAACATCTGGAGGAATGCACGGGATACAGTGGACAGGCAGGATGCAGCTTGACGATTTAGACTTCGCGGATGATCTGGCTCTTCTATCACAAACGCAACAACAAATGCAGGAGAAAACGACCAGTGTAGCAGCAGCCTCAGCAGCAGTAGGTCTCAATATAAACAAAGGGAAAAGCAAGACTCTCCGATATAATACAATATGCACCAATCCAATTACACTTGACGGAGAAGCTTTGGAGGATGTGGAAATCTTTACATATCTGGGCAGCATCATTGATGAACACGGTGGATCAGATGCAGATGTGAGGGCGAGGATCGGCAAAGCAAGAGCAGCATACCTACAGCTGAAAAACATCTGGAGCTCAAAACAATTGTCAACCAACACCAAGGTTAGAATTTTCAATACAAATGTCAAGACAGTTCTTCTGTATGGGGCAGAGACGTGGAGAACTACGAAAGCCATTATCCAGAAGATACAAGTGTTTATTAACAGCTGTCTACGCAAGATACTTGGGATCCGATGGCCAGACACTATCAGCAACAAGTTACTGTGGGAGACAACAAACCAGATTCCAGCGGAGGAAGAAATCAGGAAGAAGCGCTGGAAGTGGATTGGGCACACTTTGAGGAAATCACCCAATTGTGTCACAAGACAAGCCCTCACATGGAATCCTGAAGGTCAAAGGAGAAGAGGAAGACCAAAGAACACATTACGCCGAGAAATAGAGACAGACATGAGAAGAATGAACAAGAACTGGAAAGAACTAGAAAAGAATGCCCAGGACAGAGTGGGTTGGAGAATGCTGGTCGGCGGCCTATGCTCCATTGGGAGTAACAGGCGAAAGTAAGTAAGTAAGTAAAAAGTAAGTAGTATATATAGTCATATTAACAATCATGGTGACGATTACTCATGAATTCCTTCCTTCATCCCAAGGAAGGAGAATAAATATTTACATCATTATTTTGTTTATGGGAGTCTGTTGTTCAATTTTAGTATCAACTGATGGTATGTCTAGTTGGAAGTAAACCAACTCACTACGTACATACCGTATATACTACTCAAATAGTGTGGATTTAAAATTTTTATTTTTATTTAAACACATAAATATTGGTACAAGGAAGCACCAGATACTTATGCGCCATACAAATCTCATTCGATTTGCTTGAGGGCTGTGATACTGCCCAGGTGCCCGAACTGAAGCAGGTGGTTTTCTTAGGGGCCCACACCCGGAACCTTTGACCGAAAGATCTGATCCACAAGGCAGTGAAGCATCGTGAGGAGATGCAGTCGCATGGTAGCCGGTGATCAACGATTGATTCGTACGCTATTTGTTCCCTCAGGATACTGGAGTCCATGTGCTTCATTGGTTTGGAATCAGGGTTTTCCAACTCCTCTAGGTAGATCCTCCACATCCACCAACCCGGTTAAAGCGCCGGACATTCACTTTTCGTCCTCTCAGTTTCGTAAACAACACTCGTGGCACGAGAAGGCAATGAGTAGGACTTCCCTGGCAGAAGCTATATATTTGCTGGCCATGTGAGAGCATTTGGAGAGGGAGAGCGGACTATACCCACTCTCGGCCGTACCGGGGCATTTGGGGGGATTTAAAATACAGAAGTTCAGAAGAATTAAAGTCGATTGTGAAGAATTAATCGTAAAGGTTTGTTTATATTTCTTGTCCCTTTACTCATGACCCACTAGGATATCCTCAGTTAGATGTCTAGAAACATCATGCAAATTATAATTTTATACTGTTTTTGTAAAGTTTTAATTTGGGTAGTGCTACAAAGTGCATTAAACTGTCGCCTGGGGTATAGCCAGTGTGAGGTTATCTGAATGGTGCATGAATTAAGTACTACCCAGGCGGCGTCTTACGTGACACGAACGGAATTCGATCGAATACGGAAGGGAGTATTGAGTATGAATATACCAACCTCGGACATCTGTAATGTCAAAATTCTTATCAAACAAAAGGAAATCAGAATAAATACGTAGGACAGGAGTCAGTCACAACTGATTAGAAGTAACGAGTTGTCAGTCCCACTGTTTTCGATCTTCAGATCTATGAATGTTAGTTCAAATGTTAATTCCTTCGATGTTTAGTACTGTGGAGATTCAATCTCACTTTGAGTGTACTAACACGTGTTGATAGCACTTGTTCTGCCTAAAAACTCTGATGAATCGACACTAGATGTGAGGAATGAACTCTAGATGAAGATTATTTGATCTCGATTATAATAACCTCAGATGATCAGTCGTAGATCGAAGATAATTTCAAAACATATCAATACCAACATCGACATTCAGAAAACGGTTAGCTGATATCGGACCACTTGGTAACCTACGTTAAGATAATGGAAATTGGTTAAGGTATCAATAAACTTTGATAATGGGATTCCATTTATTGTGTATGCATGTAAATCGTTATTTCTAGTGACTACCGATTTATTCACTCAACTAGTGCTTTAGTAACATGCGTACTTAAGTAAGTAACCTGATCTTTTATACGCCTCATTGTTCAGCCATATGCTTTTAGTGTATTTTAGCTCTGTGGGCTAGATCACCTTGCATGGTTGCTTCATGAAGTCCATATTTATACTCACGTAACAAGTCCTGGATAATAACTATCCTTACGGATATTCCTCCTGGCTATGTTATACGAGTTATACGAGCTTCAACTTTTTCAGCGACTGGAATATATTTAGTATGCCGACTAACATAATTCACTACCTCCTATTTTTATACTTAGTTCTTTAAAGATACAGCGCAGTTTTCAGCCATTATCATTTATCAAAAACACTTAAGTTAACTATAATCCTCCCTTATATTTGTTCTTTTCTCTCTCTCTCGTTTTCACTTTGTATTAAGACACATCTTGGGAAATGTAAAGGTGTTAACAATGATACAAAACGTTCTTCACTTTGGATTGGTTCTTTAAACTCACTGGATGCACATGAGACGAATTTTAAGATGAAATTTTCTGACCGACTACTTGAAACACGATTTGTCAATCAAATTAGTAGTTTAAAACAACAGGTATGAATTTATTTTATGCGTAATAATTTTCTATTCATCTTCATACGAATGAGGAAAAATAAACAGAAGTGACCAGCTGTTGTGTTATACTTAGAGGTATATGAGCACAGCTTTACTTTCTACCTGTGCAACTGTAATAAATTAGTAACTTAGTCGATAAAACTTGATCACAACCAAGAAGGACTTGGCAAACATGACATTAGTCACTACTCAGTGATCAATCCGTTTTTTAATACATTTCATGTAACGAAAGAGCAGTTTCAGCCCGAATAGTTCAGTGATAACATCCTTGACTGTGGATATGGATGACACAAGGTGCGCCAAAGACCATCAATTTCCTCAAAATTTCGAGTATCATACAGCGAAAAACCGAGATTTAGGGTTTCCTGTCAACTTTCTCCAACCGCTTAATATAAAAGTATTCTGCTTCCCACCTAGTATTCATCTGACTTGATTGTTTACTAATCAATTAGGTTTTAAACTTCATTGATTAAGATAATGGAATTGGATGTGCTGTGTTTGTTGACTGATGGTTTATTACCCTTATTTATTGCTTTGTTTCATAATGTTTGTGGCTCAATAGTATAAATCATAATCGTTTTTCATTGAAGTTTCGTTCTTTGAGCTGATTAGTTTAGTTGTAGAGCCTTCATTGTTCTTCTGAACAACACCATCAGCATAAACTTCAGGTAGAAGTGAAGTGTTCGGATTTCTTCACTTAGCCACTTGATCTGTCGACTTTGATATTGATTGGTTATTGTCGACTTTTAACCTGTCATTGTATCCATTTTTATTTTATCTCCCTTTGATCTGATTCTTGGTCTCAATTACCCTTTTAAACAATATGCATACAATTTTTTATGGTAGAAAGGATGTTATATCTCGAACTTAGATTTCTTAGTCTATCACACAACACTTGAGCACTCGAACGCTAGAACCCTCCCAAGTCACAGATCAAAAGACAGAAGACAAGTAGAAGGAATGTTATTCCAAACAGTGTCGATTATGGTACAAAATTGTCAGGTATTTATAGTTTTTAGTAGAAACAAAACCATCATTATAGTTACTTAGTCGGCACACAGGGAGTTATCAGCATTTTCCAATAAGGAAGCTACACATAGTGATTCTAGAATATTCTTCCAAAAGCTGATTAGATGGAATATGTCCGACTTCTTCTGGCCTTTTTAGAGCTTCCTTGATTTCAACTGTGGACCATCCTCATAAAGGACTTCAATTTATCCTGTATGTTAATTAAACCATACTTTATATTCATAGGGTTACATATAACCGTTTTAATATATTACTTACTTACTTACGCCTGTTACCCCTCGTCGAGGAGCATAGGCCGCTCACCAGCATTCTCCATCCAACTCTGTCCTGAGCCTTCCTTTCCAGTTCTTTCCAGTTGTTATTCATCCTTTTCATATCGGCTTCGTTTTAATATATGTATAATCTTTTAATGAATTATCTTCGAACACAATACTGTATTAAGCAAATCAATAAAAATGTCAGGTTCAATGTTTGACTTAGTCTAAAAAAAAAATATTGATCATTTAAATATTGACATTAATTATGTACAATGAATACGACTATTATTCGTGTTACTGACAAGAATTATTAAAATAATCAATTTTATTATTGATTTTAGAATCACGTTGGTACCAGTTTGGCTTAATCTTTTCTCATTAATAATTATCAAAAATCATCCTTTTTTGTGGAGGATCGAATAGACTTGTCAACAATGTTACTAATATCCTGGCAATGAGGTCTATATTAAAATCAATATATGGTCCACTTCTTAAGTATTTTTATATGTTAGATTTACTGGCTGTGCTGTATATTTTCAATGTTAAAAGTCAGAAAACCCATTAGTAGACATCGCTAGCGGGTGACCTATATGATATCTGAATTCTGTAGACCTACTGGAACTCTTCCTTCAAATAATATTATTTATATATGAAGATAAAATCACAGCTTTATACTGCATGTATTGCTCGAACCTAATTTAAATACTGAACTTTCAGCTATATGTCCCCATGATACTACTCAGTTGTTGAAATTGTAATAGACTAGTCGAAGCCCGAATCCACAATCTATTATTAGTTGATAGAGCAATCCCTTTCACTATTAGCTCATTGGTCTACAAAATTTGTCCAGTATATTTAATGAATATAAATGTTCTTAATTAGCTATTCTTTTTAATTCTTTCTAATCATCATTTTTATCAAATCTCCTATACTTGTCATTTTATTGCTGTTTTTACCCGGCAAAATTTTTTTTATCAGATTACTGATTTAACTGTACAACAAGAATTATCTGATCGTCGAGCTGATCGTTTAGATAAACGTGTCACTGAACTACTCGAATCACGTACAGCATTTCAAGCAAGAGAACGTGAATTAACATTGGAATTAAAGCAATTAGAACAGAAATGTGCCGATATAGAAGCGAAGGTAACAGTTATGTTTTCTTTTTATTTAAAAAAAAACAAACAAATTTAATCATAGATATACTTTTCAGAAGGGGTCTTGTGTTGATTTCAATATTTTTAATAGTTGAAATCATGAGTCAATTGAAGCTAGACCACCATGAAAAAGCTGGAAGCACTGAATGATCGTTTCGTCCTATTATGGTACTCCTCAGCAGGGTGGTTAAGTGTTCTTACTCGAGACTTGTAAGTCCTAGGTTCGAATCTCGCTCGCGAGACGGGTTCGTGGATGCGCACTGCTGACGTGATATACTTTTATCATTTTTGTCATAAAATGTATGTCATTGATTATAACGAATATACTTTGAGCGGAGTGGATAAAATTTGAAATCCAATACTAAAACTCAAGACATAGTGTAAACTGAAAAATGAATGAATTTGTGCCATATTTACCAACTTATTGTATTGATTGCTTGAATCTTTCCATTGATGTTTAGTATTGCAAATAATTAGTCTTTTTCGGCACATGTGGACTTGTAACTAAGTGGATAACACTTTGACATTTGAAGCGAAAGTTACTCAGTCCAAAGCCCGGAGTGAACACTGACTCTAGGATTCAGACACAAGCAGCTGACGAATGCTAAATGGAACAAAACATTTGTCCTGGATTCCACTGCTAGTATTTACCAACGTTTTCAATAACTGATGGCAGTTATTGAACCCAACCCAATTAGTTTGTGTTCATTTAAAACCTTATCTATCTATGAGTTGTATCAATGGTGATATATAGCATTCCTGTTCCTTATGCATACTTGAATTAAGAGATAGTAATCTCGTCCAGAACGTTGAACCGTCCAGATCAGAGAATGCAACAGTATCTTTCTGAGTTATAAGTATTATCTACCATTTCAGCACAGCAACTGCTACAAACTTTAGTATTTTACTTCAGTTTCACTGTTGTATCAAATTTATTGTATCAAATGACGATTTGTTATTGATGATTGTAAGATGGTTTAAATTCTGTTGTTTAGAGTGTTTCTCTCTTTCACTTTCTGTATATATTCATATGATATTGTTTTGGTAACTACATATGACCAGTAAATTCTGACAATGATCTAAATAAAAAACAGTGTTGTTTGCCTAAATCTATTTTAATTTATGGTATTAGTTCATGAATGTATTGATTGTTAAAATTATTCATGTAAGTAGATACGATTATTCTAGCCAGAAGTTGGAGACTTTGGATCACATAGCCTATTCTTTGACTTGAAATACCTATGCTTTTTATTCCACGTATTCATTCTTTTTTTTTCCAAAATTTTCTTTCCTATGCCTAATATTTTCTATAACTGGTGATTCTACTACTGATATTTGTCCTGATTATTTCACTTTACAATGCTGATTTGGTGTTTCGATTTGAACCTAACCTTATATGTGCCAGCCTCCATGTTACTGATAACTAACATCAACTTTAGTAATATGCTATACCAGGAATCACCATTGCACGGTTGTTTCGTTCTAGTTTGTTACTATTATGTATTGCATACTGACGATTCTGATCTGAAATCGGTGCAAGATTTCCAAGTCTCCTTCTATTTTTATTGTTATTGTGGACCACTGAATGTTAGGATTCCTTTGTTTATATTTCTAGCTTCTAACGCGTTCTGGTTTCTTCCTCTTATTTGTATTGTTGATTAAGTAGTCTTTCATACCGTCCTATCATCGTGTCTTTTTTTAGCTAAATACGCGTTAGTAGATTTTTTGCAGGGGTACTGATTTATTCGGTAATTAGTTTTCATACAACTGTAAAATGTATCACACTAAAAGATCATCAGTCAGTATCACATGAACTTAAACAACTATGGAATATCTTTTAAGAACCTTCACGCATATCGTATTCAAATAGTATTTTGAATTACTTTTTAAGAAAGCTATACAGTTGATGTATCTTGATGAGGTTATCTCCTTGTACTTGGTTTACTTGCTCAAAGTGCAAAACATCTTAACTAACGTCTCAGTGAATTTCATATCACTCTCGGTTTTCAACCATCTGGAAATATTTAAAACATTCAACTATATGCCAAGTGATCACACATTTCAACTATATTGTTGTATGAAACTAGCAGATAGCATTTTAAACCTACAGGTCGACATTCAGTCTCAAAGTGAGTAACATATGTTACAACTAGGCTAGCATTTTAAATATTTCAGGAACGTTAAAATATTTTTTTAGTATATGATAAAAATACCAATTTATCTCGACGCCACTAAGTCTCAGGTTTGAACCCCGGTTTGGGGTATTGAGTACTATCTTCAGTCCTTACATTTAAAGTATATTAGTCTCAAACCTAAGTACCTGGTGAATAAGTTTACTACATACCATTTTTTTCTGACGCCTATTAGTTGATTTTCTTATTATATCTCTATTCTTTTTTCTGGAAATTCTATGCTATTACATTGGTGAAAACATACTTGCATACCTACATAACATTCCGGCAGTATGACTATTGTGACCAGTTGAACTGAACTCACTCTCCAAAAGCACAACAGCTCTTACCGGTATGCAATAATTCTTACCACTGTCAAAATGAAATCACTGAAAAGTTGATAGCAATCAATTGTATGTACATGTCTAGCGACCAGATGGCGAAAAGATCAATAGCATCTAAATTCCAAGTACTCCTTGTTGATGAGTCCTAGTTAGCTCGAAATCTAGGTCCAGTTCTTTCATCGGCCTCCAACCTCAAACTATAATGCCAGACAATATAAATTCACTTAGACTATCGGCCACATTCTACTTGATGGATAAAATTTGATCAACACCAAAAACTGTACTGCAAACACGAAATCATCTACTACTCAGTTATCAATCAATATTCGTTACTTATTTGTTTGGCAACCGTTTATATATTTAGATTCATTGCACTGCAAGAATGGTTCTAATTTTAACTACGATACTAATATACATCCTTTTTATTATTATTATTTGCACTTGTTTTCACTGAATCACAAGATTGACTAGTTTTCTTATAAATTTAACCCGTCCAAAACAATTTTCTGGATCAACATCCCCGTAAACGTCGGGGTACTGGAAAGTAGTTTTGTTATATTCTAAGTCCGTTAAACAGTCCATTTTATTTACCACATGATCTTTGGGGCTTCTCATGAGCACGTTTTCTTTTAAACTATTGAATCCCAATTTGATTTTTCTACATTTCCATCTTGAAATCGAACAACCTGTACTAACCATTCATGTTAAATCTGTATTTATCCTGTTTAATTTCACATTTAATTGAATGTAATGCAGTGGAGAAATAATGTTTTGTGTATTAAGGCACCCAAAACTGTCGTAGGCGACCTAGTAGGGTTCTAAAATATTGACCCACTGATTGCGCAGTCTAATACCTTCAGACAATAACACTGTGGAAAGTATACTTTCTATGCTTGATTGATTATCTCAATTTTAGTTTCGTACATTGTTTCACGACAACGTGACCATTGATTTTTTTTCTCCTGAATAATTTTTCGTTTGAAAATTTTAGCGTAAAGCCGATGGTGTTATGTGGCGTAGTCGTGAAATGGAATTCAAAACTCAACTAGCTGAACGTAAACAAGGTTATTTACAATTAGAATATCAATATGAAAGTTTACTGACATCACAAAGTCTTCAATCGAAAACGGATAATCATGAATTGATGCTAAGGAAATCATCATTAGATTCTGATAAAATATTAGAAATGGCTAATAACACTAATAGTACTGTTGAACATAATGGTAGTATGAGTAGTGATAATCATAATAATAAAAATAATGCAAATCGTTTTACACTTGGTAGTTATTTAAAATTTACTCAACCAAATCCTTCATCTATTCCATCACATTCCACTGTATCTACACCGAGACCAACAATGGACAAGAAAATATTAAATAATGAAACATCATATTGTCCTATCAATTATGAATTATATTCAATGTGGAAAGATTTACCACCAGCTGTCATGACTGAATCAATTGGTCCATTAGAAGATCTTTGTCTTATACCAGATGATCCAATGATTACAAGTGTTTATTTGAATTCATCTTCATCAGCGACGTCAGCTTCAACAACAACAACGACAACATCTCCACCATCAACTCCGCCATCTGTTGTATCGAATAATCATTTCTAGTCGGTTTTTAATGCTCATTGGCTTTCATGATACTTTTTGGTTATACTGCTAATATTAGTAATATTTATATTTACATACAATTACATTATATACATTCAAATATCTGTTGTTGTCTACTGTTTAACATTTGTATAATTTACTTCAAGTGTAGTTGAGGAGCTTTTGCTTTCTCCACTCTCTCTCTCTCTTTCTCTTACAACTAATCTACCTTCATATTGTACTTTGCAACTCCACTATTAATCATATGCTTATAACAATATTTTGGTATTTAAATGTATTCAATTGTTTATGGCAATAAAATATAACACATCTACTATTGTGTATCATAACTGTAAATTGTAAATTATACCTCATTATCTTTCCTTTTTATTTTTCAATATTCAATTATGTTTCTTGATTATTTTTTTTTCTTTTCTGATTTATAAATTCTGATTGATTCAAGTTTTGTTTTTGTTTTGCTTTTTCTTTACTTAAAAATAAATTATATAGTCTTTCAGATACTACTTATATTATGTATTACATACTTACTTATTTACGCCTGTTACCCCAAGTCGTGGAGGAGCATAGGCCGCTCACTAGCATTCTCCATTTAACTCTGTCCTGGGCAATCCTTTCCAGTTGTTATTCATCTTTTTCATATCTGTTTTCTATTTCTCAGCGTAATGTGTTCTTTGGCCTTCCTCTTTTCTGTTTCGTTTCCGGATTCCAAGTTATGGCTTGCCTTGTAATGCACATTGGTAATTTCTTTAATGTATGTCCTATCCACTTTCAAAGTCTTACTTATATTATGTATACATATGCTTATATGTTCAGAATTGAGCTGGTGGAGAAGATTTGTAGCTCAGGTGGGTGATTTTGATATAGGTTTGTTCTCTGAAACCATCCAGCTCAGAGAACAAACCCACATCAAAATATGTTCAGATTGTTTGAAAATGTTTTCTCTTTTTCTTCTTCTTTTTACTTCATCACTGTCCTTTCTTATTGTTGATCAACGTTTTCTAAAGACGTTTCCAACTGTCACTATCATTGTATCTTCACCTACTAGATTAAATTCTTTGGCAATAAAAGAGTATAATTCATCTATCTATACATATATACATTTTTTTTGGCTTCGGCAATTACAAAGTCATTTATCATGATCACTGATTTGTGTACATTAAGTTTAATATCAGTATATAGATATATATAATCTGTATATGTTTATAGTTGCTTGCCTTTTTTTTCGCATGACTTTAACCCCGGTTTGTGAATATATTATGTAACTACTACTAACTGCTGCTGCTCATTATGTGATCGGTGATCATAATGATATTGTTCCAACTTTTATCATCATCATCATCATCATCCCCCTCCTCCTTAATTTATAAAAAAGTATCTGCTATGCAAAGATGATTTTTCTTCAATGAAGGTCCAATGATTACCTTGGTTTTACTTTTTTTGGTGTGATAAAATATTTTTTCTAGATGTGTATCCACTATATTCATTTCAAGATTAGATAATCTTATTATTATTATTCATCAATCATTCATGGTTGTTGTTTCCCCCCTTTGTTTATATTATTTACCACTTTATAAATTCTTAATTTAAAAGAAGGGGGGGAATTTTGCTTCGAATGCATTTATCAAGTAATACATTACATGTATATCTATAATGATTCTGAATAGTTGCTATGTGTATATGTCTTTTTGTTCAATATATGTATTTTGTTTCTTGTTACTAATGTTAATGATTTCTTTATTTAAATTATAAACAACCTTTACATTATCATCATTAAAACGATATTTTTTTTTGTTTTCTGGAAGAAACCATTGATGATTATGTAATCATTTGACTCTTTATTATATCTTAGAGTAAATGTTTAAGAGAAAACGATTTTTTTTCTGAGAAAACAAGAAATTATTGATTATGAAATGAGTTTCCTTTTTACTTTTTATCTCATTGAACTTATGAACTATCATTGAAAACGCCCTCAAATACCCTGATACGGTCAAGAGTGGGGAGATTTCGCTCTCCCACTCGAAATGCTCTCATATGGCCTCTGCCAGGGAAGTCCTACTCACTGCATTCTTGTGGCGGGGGTGTTTACGAAATTGAGAGGACGAAAAGCGAATGTCCAACGCTTTAACCGGGTTGGTAGAAACAGAAAGTTCATCTAGGGGAGTTAAAAAAAACCTGATTCCAAAACAATGGTGCACGTGGACTCCAGGATCCTGAAGGAAGAAATGACGTATGAATTAATCGTTGATCACCGGCTACCATGAGACTGTATCTCCTCACGATGCTCCACTGCTTTGTGGATTAGACCTTTAGGTCAAAGGCTCCGTGTGTGGCTCTTAAGAGAACCACCTGTTTCAGTTTTTGTACCTGGGTAGTATTACAGCCCTCACACAAATCAAATGAGATTTGTGAGGCGCATATGTATCTGGTGCTTCCTTGTACATATATTTATGTATTTAAATAAATAAACTACTACCAGTACTTTATATTTCGCTTGTAATTCGGTTACATTAATCCTATGCTTAAAGCTTAAGCCTAATACGTCTGTACACCTAAAGAAATGATTTTTTCTCATATATTCCAGTTCATTTCCACCAATAATGAGAAGAATTCATTGAATAACACGTTTTACCCGAATTCGCCACCCAGTTGTAGATATGGTATACGTTCCTAATGAGTTTCTTCGTAGACGAACCAAATAGCTACATATTGTTGGGAAATTCACTGAGGCTCGGTGTTTAAGTGGTTGTCTTTTTATTCTTGGAAGAAGTGGCTTTCACTGAGTCACTAAATTTCGGGGACTTTTATTTGCTACTGGGATATTGCAAATATAGTATCCCTATTATTTGTACGGTTAGTGTATAACCAAATCTGCAGTTCATTTATTTCTGTTTTTGTTTATTAGTTGTTCCTTATTTATATATGGATCCTTTAACGTTTAGATTGGTCATTGTCGCGTGCACTTTGTTGAAATGCTAGGTGGTTGGAGTGACTGAATGAAACTGATTTAAATTCACAATATTAATTTCATAGTTGAAAGCTTGAGTCAATTGAAGTTAGACCACCAGGGAAAACCTAGACGGCCGTTTCGTCCTATTGTGGGCATCCTCAGCATTGCGCATCCTCGCACTCGCGAGATCCGAACCCAGGACCTACCAGTCTCGCGCCAGAGCACTTAACCGATAGACCACTGAGGCGGCATCTCATGATGTTAATGTCTAACTCCAACCAATCCACGAAGTTGAGCAACCGTTCACCAATTGTCTTCAGTGAGTTCCTATCTCACAACAGACGTGGTTTGAACTCCACTGGTTACTGCTTTTCACTGGAACTCCTGGATTTACCTCTCGAAGTCAGTCACGCTTTCAACTATAAAAAAAAAATAAAAAACCCTTCTGATAATATTCATTTGTAATATGTAATGTGATTGGTTGTCGTTTATTCCATTTGTAATTATTTTCTGCGGTTAATGAAGTTTGATCGATTAACACTGTATTGTGTTATAGTGAACATCAGATGATGAAACGATTGTTAAATGACTAAGTTGTTCGAATTGTTCCCCTCTTTTCGTTTAAGTATTCGAACAGTAGTATCAATAACCAGCCTTCACAAAAATGCATATCTCGAAAAGCTATGAAAGAGAGCACATACGAATGCGTTGTTTCGATAGTGTAAGAAGAAGACGTAGATTATCAGAACTATGTGATATATTACCGCAATACATTTCGAATAATCTGATCACACATATACTTATTAAAAGTCAGTCACAACGTAGAACTTCGTACGTACGTACATCAGTTCCAGTTGCCATACCAAATTATCACAGAGATGCAGTTGTCGATTCAAATCCCATAATGGTAGAAGTAGTAAGAGTTTAAGCAGTAATCGGAAAGATTAGGGTTTGAAGGTGTTGTTGAAGGAGTATAATACAGTGAAATAAATTTAAAAAGAATGGAGACATGAAGAATTGAGGAGATTAAAATTTGGCAGAACACAAAGAGTGAATGCACCTTCGCCATTGCAAATGATTTTGAGACATGTCATTCAAGGTCTCTAACCTTGTTAAGAACATCTATATATAAAAATAAAAGGTCAACTATACCGGAAATGGGGGGGGGATAAAAGGAGGCAAGGATGATAATAATAATAATTTAAAACCTAATCACTCTGGATAATCAGCTAATATTACCAGGGTAGGTTTAAGGGGAGAACAAACTATTTTGGAATACATGAAGGGGGTTTGAATTTTCTTTTGAATGCCTGGTTGTTTAATTTCATTAATTTATGATTGATGAAATCTTAAATAAATAAAGTCCAAATTCCCAATCAAGGCGTTTATTATGTAACCTAGTAAATATTTAATATCATTAGTGTTGTATAATGTTATAATGTATACAGATAGTTTTAATTGTATATTATCATTTTCACGAGAACTAGTTAAAAGTGATATATTGCTGGTAAGTTGTTTCATCCAATTCAAACCGTAACAATATCTAAGTAAAGATGGATAGTGGCTAGCAGTAGAATCCAGGACGGACGTTTCGTCCTATTTGGAAGTCGTCAGCTGGATGTACCTGCATCTGAGAGTTGATATTCACTCTGGGAACAAAACGCGCGTCGTGTATTCTACTGCTAACCACTATTCATCCTTGTTTACAATGCTTGTGAATTTAGGCTATATCGAGGCAATACGCACAGTATGCACATATGTCAATTAGAGACTGACCAGTTGCAGTCCTAAACACATCAATGGGAAAATTCAAACAAACAATACCAAGTGAACATAACAATATATGTTTAATTAATTGAAGGTAACTAGATTATCCTGTTGCTTAGTACACGATCCTGACATCAATATATTAGTTAAATTGACAAACTATGAAAAATGAATTCACTTAGTATTGTTTGTTTGAATCTTCCCATCAATGTGTTAGGACTGCAACTAGTCAGTCTCTAATTGGCATATGTGCATACTGTGCGTATTGCCTCGATATAGCCTTGATTCACAAGCATGATAAGTTAACGTTTTGTTACTGTCTCCTTGAGGTAAAACAAAATCCATGTAGGGATATCTACAAATCATATAGTTTGATATAGTGCACAAATTGATCGACCTTTCTTCGAAGGTCTTTGCGCCTCCTTAACTAATGTTCGAAACAAACTCAAATGGCTTTTGCATTGTTACTGGAAAATTTTACCCCATTAGCCAATTAGAATGAAGTTTACATAGATAAATAATTTATCACCAAAAATCAAACTTTTTCAAAGGTTTGAAATATACCAGTTTTTAGTATACCCCTATACAATCTATTATTATCTGTTCAGGCCTGATCTGTAAATATTTCATTTCTAGTCCTATTAAATTATGTTGTGCTATTTCTCATATGTGATGGAGAAGTAAAGGCAAGGAATAGCGTATCACGGGCAGCATTCCCAACAGTTGAAGAACATATGGAACTCAAAACAATTGTCTGGAAGCCAATATCAAAGTCACGATCTTCTATACGAACGTCAAAACAGTTCTACTGTATGGAGCTCAAATGTGGAGAACTACCTCAACAATCATCAAAATGATAGAAGTATTTATAAACAGTTGTCTACGTAAGTTACTCAATATCCGTTGATCGAATACCATCAGCAACAGCCTACCTGGGAGAGGACAAACCAACTTCCAGCTGAAGAGGAAATTAGGAAAAGACGTTGGAAGTGGACAGAACATACTTACTTTTATTTACGCCTGTTATTCCCAATGGAGAATAGGCCGTCGACCAGCATTCTCCAACCCACTCCGTCCTGGGCCTTCTTTTCTAGTTCTATCTATTTTTTGTTCATTCTTCTCATATCTGTCTCCATTTCTCGATGGATTGTGTTCGTTGGTCTTCCTTTGGCCTTCAGGATTCCATGTGAGGGCTTGTCTTGTGATACAATGAGGTGATTTCCTCAAGGTGTATCCTATCCACTTACAGCATCTCTTCCTGATTTCTTCCTCCGCTGTATGGAATCTGGTTTGTTCTCTCACACAGTAGTTTGTTGCTGTTAGTGTCTGGCCATCGGATCCGAAGTGTTTTGCGTAGATAACTGTTAATAAACACCTGTATCTTCTGGATGATGGCTTTTGTAGTTCTCCACGTCTCCGCCCCATACAGTAGAACTGTTTTCACATTTGTATTGAAAATTCTGACATTGGTGTTGGTTGACAAATGTTTTGAGTTCCAGATGTTCTTCAGTTGTAAATATGCTGCTCTTGCTTTTCCGACGCGCGCACTTGCATCTGTATCAGATCCACCGTGCCCATCAATGATGCTGCTCAGATATGTAAAGGTTTCCACATCCCCCAAAGCTTCTCCGTTAAGTATAATTCGATTGTTGCATGTTGTATTATGTCTGAAAATCTTGCTTTTCCCTTTGTTTATATTGAGACCTACTGCTGCTGAGGCTACTGTTACATTAGTCGTCTTCTCCTGCATTTGTTGTTGCGTGTGTGATAGAAGAGCCAGATCATCTGCGAAGTCTGAATCGTTAAGCTGCATCCTAGCTGTCCACTGTATCCCATGCTTCTTCCCAGATGTTGACGTTTTGATGATCCAGTCAATCACCTGGAGAAAGAGAAAGGGTGAGAGTTAGCAACCTTGCCTAACACCAGTCTTTACCTCGAATGAGTCGGTGAATTTGTCCTCCATGGACGATTTGGCAGTTTAATCCATCATTAAACTGAGGAAATCATCAAACTACATAACGAAGCAGGTTCTAACTTGTAATCCCGAAAAGACTCGTAAAAGAGGAAAGCCAAAGTACACACTGCTTCGGGAATTAAAAGCAAATAGTAAAAGGATGAATGTTAACTGTAAAGAACTGAAAATTATTGTCCAGAACAAGGTTGGATGTAGAATGCTGGTGGTTGGCCTATGCTCCTCCAGGAGGT